GCCCCTGGTCTAGTAGAAGTTCCCCCTCTTAATTCCAACACCTCCTCACATCTAGACAACGAAATGGGTTGATTGCCATTGACTCAGTGGGCCTCAAAAATCCCTTCACCTCTCAGTCAGGAAATGTAAAATTATCCACCTTTACTGGAGGTCTTATTTTATATAATTTTACCCTATTGTGCCTTTTGTCTTTCTTTACCCTCATACCAAAACCCACAACTGGATGAACTGGTAAAGTATTATCTTCCATCTGTCTGTGATGTTTTAACCACTCTGACTGGAATCAGTGTGCCTTCCTATAGTTTCATCCAGCAAGCTAATTAAAACTTATCCATCTCTATACTGGAACACACTGGCTCCAACGCTCCCCTGACAGCACTGGATTTCCAGGGAAAAGGGACAATTCAATTCAATAACCTTTATTTAATGTTAATCTCCGTGATAAGTAGGCCAAGGTTTAATGAAGGGGCTGAATCACAGATGACAGAAATATAAAAAATGTATCACAGTCACAGTCATAATTCCAAGTATATTAACTTAGGTCCTTTCTTGTCATACGTACTTCTTAAGTCAACTGATGTAGGATTCTCTCAGTGTGTGTGTGTGTGTGTGTGTGTGTGTGTGTGAAACCAGTTTTCAGTGATTCATTTCCCTCATTAACTGTTGTCCTACTTCTCTTCTCCAATCCTTCACCTGACTGTTATCTGCTCCTCTCTTATTTCCTTTCCACATACAGATAGTGTTTGGTTTTTTACTCTGAAAAAAAAACTCATTACCCGTGCTATTTTAAAAAAAATGTGTTTATTTTACCTGGTACCCCCTTTTGTGTTTTTTGTTCAATATTTATACATGTTAAAGGTGGACAAGACCTGGGTTTACTGCACATCCCATCAAGCACACACTACATCACACAGAGGCGTAGGTTTTCATATTGCAACGCGCAAAGGTAAAAGGTTTCTATACAGACGGAGAGGTACGAGAGAGGGAGAGTGATAAAGAGACCAAAAAAGAACAAACAGAGAATTACAGGGGCGAGGAGGAGGAGGGAAAGACTGAGGAGGCACGGAGGGGGAATAATAGGGAAGGGAAAAAAATCCTGACACGGAGGGAAAAAGAGGAAAGGAGACAGGCAGATGACAGAGAATCTCTTTCAGTGATGATAAAAATTGAAAAGCAAGGAGAGAACAGGGAAACTCAAAGAGTGACGAGTGAAATGGACTAATGATGTGAAAAGTAGCTACAATAGTTACAGAGGAAGAAGCAAAGACGACAGACTCAGAGTTTTTATGAATTTCTTCTGTACCCCTGTTATACACTTTTAACATCACTGCCATTACAGATCACTTTCTCCAGGGATTTTGCCATCGCAAGGATACACCTTTTTCACAGCAGCCATTTTGAAAGGAAATAGTAGGGGAAACACAAGTTTTACCAAATATACTAATTAAGTTTCTGTTACATTAGGTGGAGCACAGCTTTCCCAGTGAGCCAACAATCATTTATTTAACTGATGATTGCTCCATACATCAGTGAAAAAACAGTGTTAGGTCAGCCAAACAAATATATGACAATATACAAAACTGCACTGTTTAGCAACCAGTGGCTTCTTTACATATCCAGGAAACACAGGGCAACATTACAATTCATTAGGAGAAGGAAACCAGAAACAAACCAATATTCACTCTCCTTTGAGCTTTGTTTTGGTCTCCACTAACTCCTGAGGGAAATACTTTGACCTTTAGCTGCAAAATGCTTATTTTAAGTAAGTGTACATTGTAGACTGAGACTGAACATTGTAGTTTTAGACTGTAAAACCAAAACAAAGAGCTGAAAGAAACTAAAATGCTTTGTAGAGCTGAGGCGACCTGCAGAGTCAGGTGATGATTCTATGTACCTTTTACATTACTGCATTATAATTGTTGTAAAGAAGATTTTAGTGCAGCTTAAACAGCCATTAATGTTTTAGAGACCAGTTTTTATGTTTCTTGTAATGCTTTGTGATATAGTTTCTTCTCCTCTCTTCATCTGGTGGTGAGGAAAATGATCTAAATCAATGCTGAATTGAAGGTAGACACTAGAATCACATCACAATAGAGGCATTTCTTTAAATAGAAGCACATTAACACTAATCATGTTTAGTGTTTTATTTAAACTGTGGAGGAGTGTTTCCTTTGGCTGGTGGGAACAAATGAAATATAGAGAAATTCAGGGATATTTTTCACAGCAAGAATGTGGTCTGAACCAACGACAGGAAACAACCTCAAAACACAAGGCTTTAAAGGCAGAAGGAAACAGATGTTAGTGTTTGATAACCAGCAGTTTCTCTTGCTTGGATCGCAGCATTAAAAAATGAACCAAGGGCAAACCACAGTCTGGACGGATGCTCACATTCAGCTGCTTCTTTATGTGCATCTACGTGTTATGAATGTCAGAGAAGCTACATTACAGAGCACAGACAAGTCTGTCAGGCTGAACTAAAGTGACAAAGACTGGAATCAGATGGGCTTTGACTCATGAGTCATGTGTCTTCTGTTTACAAACTCACTTGTGACTGGGCAGAGTGAGCTCTTCCAGTATGCTTCACACCAAAAGAAACAACATCTAGGTGTGATCGCACTCAGCAGCAGTGTGAAATGATGATGCATTAACTTGAAAAAGCTCCCATCAATCATTTGTACAAAGTCTTTGATACTAATGACGACAACATACAGCTCTCCCTTTTTTAGTTCTTTTAAACACCCTGCTGCTTTAGCCACAAACAGAAATGATGACTCAACTCGGCTGTATGAGGCTGGATTTCAAGGCTGGTAGTTCTGATTGAGGGAGACTGACACACACGCACACACACACACATACACACACACATACACACACACACACACACACACAGTCACTCACACCAAGCACAACCTAAACACACCCCCGTGCCACACAACTGCAAACAAAGTTGATGATTTTAATCACCATAACATGCTGAGAACACAAACACACCCTCAGGGTGCTAATCAATTACTGCATACACACACCTACATACACACACAGGGACACACACACACAAAATCAAGCTAAACTAATTTCACTCTAATCCAGATTCTTGTTTCATCAAGTTCTGCAGTGTGTGTGTGTGTGTGTGTGTGTGTGTGTGTGTGTGTGTGTGTGTGTGTGTGTGTGTGTGTGTGTGTGTGTGTGTGGTACATGCTGCCTGTCTCAGAACAGAGGCAAGCTAAAACACCATGAGAGCCCCCCCACACACACACTCATACATACAGAATGTATGAAGCTCTGCAGACTACTTCATCTCTTGGCTTGTTAAAAATTATCATTTTGAGAGACAGTCAAACGTCAAAGCCTTCTGTCTTCTCTCGTTTTTTCATCAATCAGAATAAGTGATGCAATGAAATCAAACACAAAGCAATCATCTGACATTTCCATATGAAAACAGTTGCATTTTGCCATGTCCAATTGATAAAACCTCATGTTTATTCAACCTACTATATAACCACTTTTTGAAACTTTTTACCTTTGCTGTTCTAAACATTTGGAGTTTTTTTGAAAATAGTAATTTCAGGGATTAACTTGCACAAGGACAACACTTGCACAAAACCACGTGCATTTCCTATTCACTCTGCATAAAAGCAACAATATTAGTGTTAACATTCAGTTCAAGTGCTTGTCTGACAACAAAACCCACAGATATACACACAATGTTAGCATTCAGTGTTGGTTCTGTGCTGATAGAGCTATCATTATGATAATACAGAGGTCTATCATAATTATCTGCTAATTGACTGCCTAACGAGGTAGCGCTCATTATAATGCTCATTAATACTCCATCATCCCCATTGATAGCTGTAATCACAGAGTGCTACTTTCAAGGTCTTACAGGAGGGTGTGTGAGAGCTAGTGTGGATACTGTCTGTACACATATGTGTGCTTAAGTGCATCTGTGTGTGTGTGTGCTGCAAATATTGTCGATTATTTCCTCCAGCACACAGTATTTACTCCTTCCAATACAGGGTCCATAAATATCCTACAAAATAACCATTTTTTATTGTATATAGTTCTTATACCTGGGCTTCCCTAGATATTACAACCCTGTTAAATGATTCCACACCTTACCTCTTACCTTCAGCACTGACAGCATGCCCTTACTGAAGCAAGCCAGACAGAAGGGTGTGGAGGCTGTGGTGGTGGAGTCCATCTGACTTTCATCCAAATAAAATGTAATTGAGTTGGATCGCATAAGACTCGACTTGTGTCCAATTACTGTGCACCTTTTTATTAACAGTGATATCTCCCCAATCTTAGCCATGCCATAGTTGCTATTTGCAGATATTGATGGTCCAATATCTTGTCTGGTAATGGAGGGTTAAGTCATTACACCATTTCCTTTTGGTCCTCTGCTACATTTTTAAAGGAGAAGTGTGTAGGATTTAGTGGAAACCCTTTAAACTCACACAGACTGACACTGTTACTGCATTTCTACAGTCTCTGTACAACTAAAATGTGTAGCATGTTGCCGCTGTAGAAGAAGAGGGTGAAATCTGCATTACCCTGCTTGATAAATCCGACACACTGGACCTTTAAATTAGATGACTCTCACATGATAAGCAGCAGGATTGGACACAGAGAGCTCACCTCTTTCTAAACTGCCTATTGTCTGTTGAGCCTTTAATTATTTAAGTTCCCTAATTCAAGGGGCTCCAAGTAGGCACCCTGCTGCACACCTACTAGCTCTTTGTACAGGTTCCTGCGAGAGCAGCAGGCTTCCCACTATCACCTGCCAGCCCCTGAGCAGCAACTAGAACTCAGTTTTACCATAATACTCATCAACCTTTCCTTCTTTGCACAGAATATTTCAGTGTGTGTGGCAGTTTTCATTGCTTGTATTCTCCTTAAACTGGACTACAGTACCTGTTTCAGCTACAGTTAAGCGTGAATAATGTAGCTGTTCCTTAGTATGCTGTTGTCTGTATTGTAATAGTGTTTTTGTGTTGCAGGTATGCCTCTCAGTCTGGACTGCAAGGCGTTTTTTGGCTACAGTGGAGAAAACAGAAGGCCCATTATCTACTGGATGAAAGGAGAAAAGTTTGTCGAAGAACTAGCGGGACACATTAAAGAAAGTGAAGTCAGGTAAATACACCACAAATACACACTAAATACTCACTTCTAGATATGTGCCACTAAGCATTTTCTGGAGGAGAGGAGGAAAAAAAAGAGAAAAACTACAGTAGTTATACATTTGAGTTGAGTAAATATTAAACACATATAATTACATAAGTAAGTACATAATATTGTTTTTGTTGAGTTGTTTTTTCACCACTCCTGAAGACACTGCGACAGTATCAATTATAGCCTGTCAAGTTTACAGGTTTCTATTGTTAATTAATTTCTGAAAAGACTCGACTCCAGCTGCACCCCTCACACTGTCAGTATCTAATTTGCTCTCTTATGATTTATGACTCATTGAGGGTTCTCTGACAGATTTCTTCTCAACTTTCCTAAAGAATTATGAATACTAATAATAAAGTTAAATTGAATTCATTTTCTCCCCTATTGGGACCAATTACATCGCGCTCTATTGGGAAAAGCCTGATTGTCTGCGGGGCGTCAAATATCATTATAACAACCTGCCAGATCACCATGGAAACCATCAGAATACGCACACTTTCACACTCCATACACACTTGTGCAGAGTGTGCTAGGGATATCACTTTTAAACTGGTCAATAACAGATAAATGTCACCTGCATAAAAGTGTTATTTACCAATTAACAGTACATTAAAGGAACAATTCATCTGCAATTACAATATATTTTGGCTATTATAAATGACATTGTCAGTGTAGGGAAACAGCTTATTCATTTTGGAGATAGGGAATAATAACGCTTTTGGAGTTTATTTCTTCAGTAGACAAATGCAATGGAGAATACTTTGGGGTTTCTAAAATAAGGAAAAGCCACGGTGAGCTCTGTATAACAAGAGGTAATGTGTCAGGCTTAGCTCATGATTCTGCTGTTTGAAGAAAATCTTAGTGGAGATCCCAGGACATCAACTAATACATCACAGGAAGCAGAGGCAGGCTTTCCTGGCACATGGACAGTTAAGGATTCAGTGTGACAATAACCTTAAACAAACATGCAGGACACAGTGTTTGGTGGTAGTCGTTGCTGTAATGACTTTGCTGCCGTGGGGCTTTGTGAGTGGAATGGAGGTAGAGATGAAATGAGGTATGCAGGATTGGAGCACACGAATCTAGGCTGACTTTAAAACTCCACCTGTTAATACCAGTGTGCTGCAGTGCTGCAGAATAACTGAATTAAATATGTAATTTATGCACCGACTAAGCCACTATGGCAAATACAGTAGATCAAAATTCAATCAGGAGGCGATAAAGTTTACCATTGATGCAGCAATGACAGCCAACCCCTTAAAATGTTTCCAGTGTTTGAAAGTTTAACTGTAGTACTACACCTTTTTTAGCAATTGGGATTTGAGTGCATGAGTTGGTAATTTGAGGAAATGTATAATTATAGGTTATGAGTTACATCCTGGGCTCTGTAAATTAACATGTTTTAAGATTAAATCACAGCGTACCAGCAAATAAAATGTTTAAACAAAGATTAAATTATCGTTATCACCATAAATGATCATAAACAGCCTCTTCAGCTCCTCACCTCCTGTCAAGCACAACTTGTAGCTTTTTTACTTTTAAAGGGACACAGCGACGGCATGTTATGGCAGAGAAAAGCCTGTTTGTTTTTCTCCAAATGCACTTGCTGCACCTTGCCAGAAGTCTGGCATGGATTAATGCACCATCTACAATGACTACACTGTAAATTCACTGCTTTTTCGCTTTCCGTGTTATTGTTCAACCTGCCCATTTTTGAGGTAATACAACTCACTTCTGAAACAGCATCCTGTAAAAGAAATATCTTTATAACATGGAAAAGGCACAATTGCAATTGTGTTTACTTTAACCATCAGCACTGAGTCCTTCACCCGGAACTGGAAATAGTAAAAGTCCTCATTAGTAGAAAACATTTTTAAAGTAAAATCGAGACAAAATTTTCTCTTCTACCCAAAAGCCGTCAAGTTTTATGTCATCAACCCAACCCACCAATAATAATGTGAATATTTCATCCTCCCTAAAGCTGAATTATCTAAACACCCTCTCCCTCTACAGAGGTCAGGGTGAGCTACAGAACAGCAGTTCTGGAGCTGGGAGGGCTGCAGTGTCTTCCTCTAGGACACTTCAGCAGGAGGGCTGCTTGCTGACCTACTGGGGCTTGAACCCAGGTTCTCTGTTTGAAGGATTTTCTCTGCAACCGCTAAGCCACTCAGTGGCCTGAAAATGTTCACTCCCGGGAAAATAATGTTGTAGATAAAGAGAGCAGGAATGTGCATGAGGGTGAGTGTTCAAACTTGAAACTAATCATGCCCCGTGGTATTAAATTAACCTTTGCCTGATGAATTCTCCATCTTTCAGTCCAGTCCTCTGGCCACCTCTGATCCAATCACACTGCTACTCCAAATTCAACAATCACACTACAGCAGACAGACCCCTGCTGTGATGCACATTAATCTGTCCACGTTTAGCTCCTGCCACCCATCCTGCTGCAGCACAGGCCATTGCACTGTGTGTGTCCCTGTCTGTTTGCATAGGATCCAATACTGTTTCTATGATAATGTGAATATCCTTAATTACCAGTTCTTGTTACCCTGCAGTATTTGAGAGAACTGTTGACACTCTCACCTCGTTATTACTGCACCACCTAGAGAGACTGGCCAGCTGTGAATATGTGTGACGGACAGGAAGTTTCAGACTCTTTCTTCACTCTTAGCCCACAAGTGCTCTCATTCTGAAAACCTGCATCTGTCTTCGAACGATATAATTACAACCTGTCAAGAATTCAAGTGCTTTGCCCAAACACACATACCAACATAATAAATATGAGCAGTATCATTAGTTTCACTGCAGTTGTTGGCACAGCTTCAGTGCTGTCCAGCCACCCAACATTTCTGCAACTCAGATATCATAGTTCATGGTTCGTTCATGTGCAATGAATTCGTAATTACAATATTTCCACCTGGGGCAGCTTCCTTCATATTTTCACTTGAAGGCAGTACTGGCCCATATGTGTAGTGGTGTGGAGAGGCTTCTTTACCTGCTTGAAATTCACATCATCTGTCCAATCCAACTGCTGCCAAAGCCTCACTGTTTTTATGTTTTTGAACCAGACGCATCCTATCTAAAATTGCCATTGTTAGTTTTCCATGAGATGTTTTAGTCACCTACCAACCAAGGTTGTTTCAGAGTCAAGTATAGAAATACGAGAAAAATAACTTTTTAAAAATATTTTTTTGCATGAAATCAAATGAAGGAATTCATTGTGCACCAAGTGAAGAGAAGAAGTATGAATTTAAGTATATTTAAAAATAGGTCTGGTGATTTTTCTTATTTATAACAAATCCTATGGCAAAATAAAAACCAACAATGAATCGATCCTACTATTATTAGCTGTGTAGCTAAACCCTTATTATCTCTTCACCATAGAGCTCCATTATTGTCTAAAACTATTAAAACATCAATGAGCCACACTGTTGTGCTAGGTGAAATGTTTCTTCATTACAATGATCGTGGGCGCTGTAGTTTATCCCACATACACCATCCTGTTGATCACCAAATCCTCAGCTGCAAAATAGTCCCCAGCATTTAAATATTTTCTGCTGTTTGAGTAATATTTGCTAAAAACTATTGTCCAGCTAAGTAGAATTATTTTTTGTGCGATTTTAAGTACAGTTGTTAGGCATTTTAAATTATTTACGTCTTCATTAGGGCTGAGAACCATAGACATGGTATGGTACACTTAAGTTATATTGTTTTTACTCTTTTTATATAATTTGTTAACAATAAGAAAGGAAGTGGAGTATTTGAAGATTACTCCAAGTTTGTGAATGCGAGAGTTCATTTGAAATTGGCTTGCATCCATAATTTAGTGAGGCAGTTGGTCAGTGTGGAGTGAGTTGTAGTTGCAGTGTATTTAGATGGATATAGAGCCGGACATCATCTGCGTATCAGTGGAAGTAGAGACCATGAAGATGAGTGGCAGCGTGCTGAGGATGAACAAGAGAGGACCAAGTACTGATCCCTTGGGACAGAGGTGCAGTGCCAGAGGTGCAGTTCAACAGTTTAACAACATCACTGACACTGAGGTTGGTTTACAGACAGCAAAAACAATGTTGAGGTTGACGGTGTCAAAAGCAGCAGTGATGCTGTTGAGGATGTGAATACTGATATGACCAGAGTGGGAGGAAAGGAGGTTGTTGGTCATTTTGAAAAAGAATAGCCAAGTGTGACTTATAATAATTGCTAAGTCTTTAATCACAGTAGCATTACATGAGCATGGCATAGGAAGATCTCAACCAGGTGCTGAGTTTTATATAAAAACAATGAAAAATGAGCAGAATAAATCATTATCGATTACTGGATGAAAGGAGTGTGTTTAATAGCAGACTTCAAGACAGCATTATAGTCATAGATCAGAGAGATATGAGGGGAGGTAAGAGGAGAAAGAAAGGAGGTCTGCAATGGGGGGGGGGTATAGAGAGTTATTGGACGGAAGGTGAGAAAAAAGAAGAGAGGAAGTGATGTGTTTTTAATTGAGGATTTTAGCAAGTCACTGCTTTTGACTGTGACCTCTAATAGTCTGCCCTGGTAGACATCGGAGTGATGCACACACTCAAAACCAGTGACACAAAAAGGAGGAGAGCAAGAGAAAGACATTTGTTGTATTTCTTCAGGAACATCTGACATTTTTGATCTCATAATTCTTGCTGTAACGTGGACAATTATAAAAATCATTTACTATATTCAGATTTCACAGCTTTTTATCTGCTCCTCGGTTGATAAATTGGCAGAGAAAAGCATTATTATTGAAAAGGTTATGAGTTCAATTCCCACAACGACCACACATGCTAAAAGTGTGTGTGTCAAAATTCTTTGCATGCAAGCACTTGGATAAAAGCCTCAAGTGACAGATACGGTTCTTTTCATGGTGAATTATCAACAAAAACCTGTAAAAAAAAAAAAAAAAAAAAAAGAGCCTCTTATCTGATTGCCCTTGTTGAACTGTGCCAACTCCCGCACGTTTTAAAATCTGCACTGGTCAAAACTGAGTCAAACCAACATGTTTATAAGAAGAGGAATAATACAATTCTGTGTTTTCCGACACATTTCTGATACATTTTAATGAACTTACACATGTAACATCACCTGTTACAACATATGTAGTAAATGCGGCAAATAGAAATGTAGATATTTGGCATGTAGTACAGTACTGTTATTTTTGCTTGTGTTCGTTTTGATACCCCATTTTTTCAGTGGGTCTGATTTTTCAACCACTGCCATATCCTGCTGCATGCTGGGTAAACCAAACCTCTCTGCACTGTGATTACAGTTTAACATAAGAAAAAATATTGTCAGCTGCAGACACAAAACCTTTTCCAAACCATTTCTTGGGTGTCATCGCCCACATGACTCTTAGTTCACACTCTCACACTCATTTTCTCTGGTCTCTGTTGCAGACTAAGATAATTTCCTCAAGGTGCAAGCTATGATTACTCAAGAGTTCACTTCACAAGACACTGGCTTTTAAAATAATCTTCCCCTCTGAACTACTGGATAGATTGTGTTGATAACATGGGGTTTGGGGTAAATTAAATGGTCAACTGTCATTGCAATTGACTCCTCCCTTAAAGGATTGTCCAATCACAGCTGAGCAAACACAGCTATGGTGATTCTATGATTCTGCAGGCAGCATGTCTGTCAAGCTTTGTATTTCCCCACATGTTGAAGTGGTCTGCTCTGTATCTAAAGAGTTTAACCTAACTACCCCAGATGGTTTGTTACACAGAACCATGGGGGAAGTCGCCATTGGAAGTAGTTTGGAAAAGGGCAGGCACTTTATTTGGCAGGTGATTGGATGAACCATCTGTCTATCATTGTCTATGACAGGCAAACTTCAACCAATCGAATCAATGAACCATATAACGTAGTCAAGCTCTTACCGAAGTCAGACGGGAGAAGAGCAAAAACATCTTTACTCTTTTCTGGGGGGGAATTTACATTACATTTAAGTTGACCTCTTTATCAACAGCCATTGTTGTTGAGCATCAGTCACTTCTCCAACATGTCATCACACACGTTCCACGCCTGTAAGTCATACCTTAGCTGCCAGTAGTTTCTCATAGCACAATGACTGGTTCATAACTACTGTATTAACTATGTCTTCTCCATAGATCATTAAATGCTGAGGATGCTGACTGTTTGCTTAAGGCCTGCAAGCTTTAGCCTCCTTTTTTTTCTGCATCATTACACTGTACTGTACTGAGTTATTATATCACGTAGCTAACAGTAGCCATTAAATGCACAATCAAGACCCTTTTGTAGGTTTCATAGTTTCTTATGAAAAAGCCACAAAACATTAAAAGGTTTTCCACAGATTTTTCAGTCACCTCATAGAGTTAAGAACATTTGTCAGTTGTCATTTCAGCCAGTAAAATCCTGGTCACTGGCTAAAATTATACAAATAATAAATAAATATAATTTGAAACAACTTACATGGCTGGCAGGGCTTAGTGATGGGTCAACTGTTGAAATAAGTTCGCTCAACAAGAATTAAAACCTCTTGCATAGCAGTGATAAAATGATGTCAACAAAATGAATGTCAACTTCAAGACAGAATGAAGAACATGGTTTTTATACTGAGCGTTGACCACCGACCGTGCATTTAAAATTACCACCTTGAGGCACATGACATTCAAATTGACTTCCACTGACTGTAACAACAAGAAGAATAGCATTGTGTTGGCATAGTTTCAAAGCCACACAACATTAATATTAATCCCAACAATGAATATGAACAGAAATCTAGATATGGCCATATGACTCACAATTTAAGAGTGTAGGATTTACTGATATCTACCGTTTAAGTTGCAGATGGTAAGCAACTGAATATTACTCGCCTTCCAAGAGAAACTAAAGTTGCCATGTAACTCACTAAAGGGCCTATCTAAAGCCAGTGTTTGGTTCCAGAGAAAACACCTTATTTTCAGGTGATTATTAAATTATTAAAACAAACGTTTGAATATTAAATAATATTTCTGCCAATAGATTCTCCTAAATGTTATGCACTGGACCTTTAAATCAATCAACTTCTTAAAATTTAAAACAATCAATTTTAAAAATAAATGACTGAGAACACATTAAACGAAATTACCTTTTTGGTTTTCACTATCAGACAAAATCCTACTGGACCATCTGTGACTGAATTTGCAATGTCAGCGCAGTTAGTCTGATCTCAGATATCACTGGTTATGGCTGAATCTGACCTGAAATCAGGCTTAAAGGTGCACGTCGTGACCCAAACATCAGTTCAGTCTGCCCCTCCTCCACCTCCTCTCTTCCTTCTCCTTGCAGGCTTTTAGAGGAATATGACCTCACCATAAGGAGAGAGGCTTTTTCCAGCTGTCGCCAGTGTTTTCTACACATGCCTCCTTACTCCCTCTATCCTCCTTTTTCATCTGCTCTGTATTACACACTGCTCCACTCCTCATTTCTCCTGTCCTCTCTTCCTCCTGCTTTATCTCCTGTTATACTCTTTCTCCTTTTGCAGTTTTTGGTGGAGTAGTACATGTTTACTTACTCTCCGTCTCACTCCTTCTCCTCCCCTTTTTTGCCTCTCTCATTTGCCAGTCTCGTAGGTTATTTTGTAAGGAGTAATCTGGCACAAAACACCACCTAATGCATCTAATGTTTCATACATGTTTATGTTCTCCTTGTCTTCCCTAAAAGGTTTTCAAAGGAATAATATTTGGGGGAAAATATGTTCCTGCTGTCTGTCCCTGACTTCTCTTTATCTGTTTGTCCAGGATTTTAAGGGAGCATTTAGGGGAGAAGGAGGTGCAACTATCCTTAACGTTTGATGCTGTGGAGGAGGCAGACCTGGCCAACTACACCTGTTATGTGGAGAACCATATAGGGAAGCGCAGCGGGAGTGCTATACTGCAGAAGAAAGGTAGATTACTCTCTCTTTCCCTTTCATTATCTTCTTCCTATATTAGTTAGGTGGAATTAAAGAAGTGCCTCAACTGAAGAAGAGAAAACCATTCTGTCAAAGAAAATGAACTTACACATTATAGAAGAGCAAATTATTTTAGGAAGATTGAAGTTAGTTAGTTCAGTAAGGTTGTCAGTTCTTATTATCTACTACGGCATGTAGCTTTGGTCTTGAAAACATTACCTAACATACTCTCAATCAAGTACCACACCATTGTACTGATTAACGAAAAGTCTGAAAGCACATTGTGGGAATGTTTGAAATTGTAGAATGTAATTATTCACTTTGTCATGAGTCAATTATCTTAGTTTAGCATAAAGACTGGAAACAGCTAGTGTTCCATGACCTATAATGTACACTAATTAGCACATGGTAAGAGTAAAAATGTTAAGTCGCTCCACCTAGCTGTTGGTCCTCTGGAAATAGAATTCTTTTTTAACAAAGGCTAGCTATTTCCCCCTGCATCCAGTCTTTATGCTAAACTAAGCTAATCCCCTGTGGCTCCACACTTAGACATAAAAGTGGTATCAATCATTTTATCCAACTTTTGGCAAGAAGACAAATAAGCATACTTCCCGAAATGTCAAATTATTCCTCTAGGCAGGTTAAACATTAACTAAATAAATATACATTTCTATTCACAGATAATTTACTGTCAAATACACAGTAAGTAGAAAAAAAATCTGGATTTAAAGCTTCCACAGTGTGTTGTTCCCAAAAGCAGTGCTTTATTTGTTTACCTTGAATTGCTAAATATAACCGTATATGCTCCAGTTACCTGGGACATATTCCACTTGATTCTGTTAACAAGAAATACCCCTACAGCTCAGGAACTGATGCTACTTTTATGGCTCAGTAAATATTTGTGGATGTGAACAGCTTCCAAGATAATTAAGGCTTTAAATGTGTGCTGTCATCAAGAAATGTGCGAGATGTAAAAGCTCTTTCAAAGCTTAATTTCAAACATTTGGGTAGCTGCTCTTAAACAGCTGACACAAAGAAAATTGTAACACATCTTATAGACAGACCAAGAGAAAATACAAGAGGAAATATTTGACAGAACTGGAGACTCTGTTTGATTGACAGGTGATCTCCAGAAAGAGTGGTCAGTAAAAGGAATGCTGAGCACCACAGATGGAGACAAAATAAAAAACCAGGAACTCATACTTACCGCTTTAAATATTCAGCTGAAAAATGCATGAGGGCATAGCTGCCTTTGTAAAACATTTGCAGCAGTCCTGCGGTATCTTGCCTTCCATCTGATGAGCAGAAAGAACGGGCTTGTTTGAGTCAGAGGCCACAACCCGGAGAAATAGAGAGAATCAGAGAATAACCAAACAGCGTTGGAGGAGGAGATGAATTGTCTCTGTTACCTCAAATCTCGGTGGAAAAGAGGGCCGCATGAATGCCCGCTGTATGAAATAAATGTATGTAATGCAGAAAAGCAGAGACAAGGAGAATTGGGGAAATGTGGTAAGAGATAAACAGACGCAGGAACAGTGGGGGACAGACCGAGGCAAGAAAATGGAGAACAAGGGAGAGGTAATAGATGCAGACTGAGAGATAAAGATAGGGAAGGTGAGGGGTGTACGAGAAAATTGGGAGAGACAAAGTGGAGAGAAAAAGAGAAAAGAAAAGACACAGGGAGAGGGAGAGAGAGCAGAACTAAAAACAGGTCTTTCTATCTCCCTGTCTGACTCGTGCTGAATGCCTTGGGTGTCAAATCTATCTTACTATACTTAACTAGCACCCTAGGGACTCTCACACACAGGCACAAGCACACACACACACACAGGATCACACAGACACACACACCAGAGGGGGTCAGGATGGGAAATGTAAGGTCGTCATTACTTCACACTGTAATTACCTAGATGAACACTGGAAACTGTGTGTGTGTGTGTGTGTGTGTGTGTGTGTGTGTGTGTGTGTGTGTGTGTGTGTGTGTGTGTGTGTGCGCGCAAGGCCGCGTGTGTACAAAGCTTTATACTAAAGCAATAGGCAGCAGTGCTATAGAGCATATTCTGCATATATGTGTGATCGGACCTGACGCATACACACAGAAACCCATACACTCCCCTCATGGGAGGCATTAAGTGTAATGGGATTGGTCCTGTATTTGAGACTTACACACATATAAAGGAACACACAGTGAAATACTGGAGTAGCTGGATATTGAAGCAGCTATAAGTTTAGTACATGTTGCAGCATAATGTGTTTTCTGTGTGTAACTGCTGTGTCAGCATAAAACGAGATCTCCCTAAAATCTTGCAAAATGTGTGGGATTTCTTTTGTATTAAGGTGGAGGTGGGGAAACTGTCCATGTAGGTGTTTTGTCTTTATATGTATCTATGTGTGTCTCATGAGGTGGTCTCCTTTCTGTCTCTATCTCTTACTTGTCTTGCTTTCTTCTTGCTTTTTCAATTTAGCAATATACATTAACAGCAGTTGTCCCAAAGCTTAAAACTCCTCCTTGTCTGCGTCTCTTTATCTACATCTCCTTCTCTGTGATCAGTATAGATTTAAAGGTAATGAGGAAGAGATAATGGCTTTAACCTGGAAAATAGTCCCCATTCGCTGTAATTCACCACCTACAGCGCTATTATTATTATTCTGTCAACCTAAGAAGTGTTTAAGCTAATCAGTAATCACCTTGATTTAATTGTTATGCATTCAAAAGGAGTACATGTGGAAAGTCGTGGTTGGAAGCTGTTCGGAAAAGGGGAACCACACAAAATCTGTTTGTTGTGGTCTATCGCTGGGCGAACTTCAACAGATCAACGAGTCATAAAATGCAGTCATATTCTTACCGAAGCCAGTCAGGAGAGGAGTGAAAACATCTCTTCCATTGAGAAAAACCATCAGTGGCGTTCTTTATTCTTCTGTCAATTAAGAAGTACTCTCCAGTGCTCACGCTCATCTCTATGGGAGCTGCACGCAGGCTACTTTTTTTTTCAAAAGTTCACTTACTGCCAGCAGACTGTTCCAGCGCCTCCTGGCCTGAAGACTGGAAGCTAACAGGGTCACATTTGGGCTCCTGAACACTACATGACAGCCTAAACAAAGCACAAGTTATCCTAAGTTAGCACAAGTTATCAAAGCTTGATTTCATGCACTGTGTGTGTGATTGAATTAGGGTGTGCTCTCACCCTGCAGTGACCCAAGGTAATGGGTTGATGCATCTATGTTGCACGCATGCACTCCCACGGACACACACACCTACAGTACACACACCATACACATCCACTTATTGTAACTGACAGAGCAGAAAGAGCTGCCTTCAGCCACCATGACGACAGTCTTACTAGAAAGAAAAATTGAGGGAGAGAGACGGAGTGAAAGAGCTGACAGGAGAGAAGATGGATTGAGAGAAAATGACAAACAGAAGGACAGACGGGGACTGAAGACATGGTTTCTCTGATGTCACTCAAAGATTTCTGAGTTTGGGCTCACCGCAGGCTCCTACCTTATTGGCTTAATGTAGAGGCAGAAAATACAAATTTAGTCGGTGTAGTGAGGACAGATTTGTAATGAGGACAGAAGAAGCACCCACAAACATTCCCCTTCGTCCCCATTTACACTCCATGCGTCTCGGAGTGATCGGATAGCTGTCACATGTCAAAAAAGCCAAGTGCAATTGCATCCAAGAAGCACTGATCAGCCTGATTGCTAAAAGCACCTCGGGAGGGGGTTTAAGATGTATTCCAGACAGATGTTGAAAAGGTGTAAATGCATCAGTCTCTCTAAGGTGCGAACATCTTTACTCCTCCCAAGTGTAACTATTTCAGTAAGCGGCCTATACAAATAACCAGTCACAGGGTGAGCTAACCCCCCAGCCTGTCCCCCATCTACCCCATCTACCTTTTTGTCTTTAAAAGCTGACTAGCTTCTGAGAACATAAGTTAGAATCTATGTTAAATAGAGTTTGGAAGAAGTTAAGGTTTTCCTAGTCACTTTAACAGTGTAGAGAGGGTTTCTTTCTCCAGCGTCTAGTCAGCTAACCTTAAAAGAAACTGCTTCTTGAGGCATTTCAGCATCTCATGGTGGTTCCAAATTGAAAAATTAGACAGATGGTACATTGGGAGACAAGATGTAAGGCTATTTTTATTTCATATTCATTATTAATGTTTTTTTTTTTTTTTTTGGACAAATTTGCTTAATGATGCAAAGCTAATAAAGCTAGTTGAGGAAAACTGAAGACTACAAGAGAGAGAAAGAAGGTGAATCCTGTGGAATTCAACAAGGTGGTGTCAGTGTACTGTATTTGGTTGTGAAGAGAGACAAAGAGCATGACAGGGAGAAAAGTTGTATGAAGGTCTCATTTAAATTTCCTTTATCATATTCCTCCCCACACATGCAGACACACACACACACACACACACACACACACACACACACACCACCACCATTACCGGTGACTGCTCGTTTTATGCCTAATGAGTAAAAAGCATACTTAAAATTCAACGCTCAAATTCTGCTCCCATTTTCCTGTGCAGTGATATCAGGAGACGGCGGCAAGTGACTCATTACTAATGGAAAATATCTGAGAAAGGTAGATGAAGGGGGAGTGGTGATAGAGTGAGGGGGAGAGAACAGAGAGCGGAAGAGAGGAACACGGGAAAGAGAGAGGGATGAATGGAGGCAAGGGGAGATGGAGAGAGAGAGGCGGAGGTTTTTAAATGGGTCTCATTACTAATGGAAGCAATCTGAGTTAACTTCACTGTAGAGCAAATATTTGGCAATTAGTTAAATTTCACTATTTTTCTTCCCCCCTTGGACCGCCACTCCATCTCTCCCTCCTACCCTCCCTATCCCCCACTCTGTCGCTGTCCCACCTCTTTCTACTATATAGTGTCTCTGTGTATAAGTAAAAGTGGTGCAGCAGCTCAGAGTAGAGTTGGAGAGACGTCTACTGGTGAAATTTGGTAACTTCAGACAGATTATATACTGTGGTGGTAAATAAAGGGTGCATTGTGGGATTATTTCAAAGAACTGAAAACAACAGAAGGCCTTAAGTTTTGTCCTTAAAAGTCTCCATCTTATGTCACTCGGTTTGATAGGTCAACCAGAAAAAGTGTCCCCAGGTGGCTAATAACACGCATGAGATGATGAGTTAAATGTCTGCCTAAAAAGTGCAACATTTGAATAAGATGAGATAACATGATATACAAGGGCTTATAACGACATCTCACCAAAGAAAAAACAATAAAATCTAAACTCAATGAAAAATGAAGACATTAGTACAACACACAGAGAAAAATAGAAAATAACCTAATAATTATACATGGCAACAATAAAATGACCACAAGGTACATATATATGGCAATAGCATAATACAAAAGACAAAATGTATCTAAATTTGAGTTGATGTACATCTTGGAAGATGCAAATGATTTACACATCAATCCATTTTTAACCTTTAAAATTGAATTGAAAGACGTGTGTTAATAAAATTAAGCCATCTTTTTAAATAAAAATGCAAATAAATAATATAGCTTTGTTTTCTTTTTTACTTTTGGTACTTTAAGTACATTTAGCTTATAATGCTGATATGTACTTGTACTTTTACTTAAGTAAAGTACATTTTGAATGCAGGACTGGAGTATTTTTACATTGTGGTATTGCTATCTTCCACCACTTCCTGGGGTTTTCTCAAATAACCAGTTCTGGCATTAAACCACAGAGCCATTTTAATATTGTAGTTACTATAATTTGTACAATAGCATATTATCAAATTCCAGCTCATGATTTTAAAGCCTTTATAATCATTACATCACACCTTCTGTTGACACCTTCTGTTAATAAAATTACAGTTGTATGAAATGAACAGTAACACTTAATACTTACTTACACTGTGCGTACAGGCACTGTAGGAGCAGAATGAATGTTTCTATTGCACTAAACTGTCAAGAGAACAAAAAAACTAACCATTCAACTGAAATGGGAAAACTTTGTCCAGAAATATGATATTTAATCACAATGTTTGTATATTTTTGTACCTTTTATCTACCCTTTGAAGCAGTTCATAAAATCTCCAAATCTTTAAAATGTAAATTACATGGTAGCCTCTCTCTTTGTCTCTCTGTGTGTCTGTCTGTCTGTCTGTCTGTCTTTAGACACAATAGATAATAGTAAGAGATATTATTCTCCTCCCCTTGAATAATTACATGTGACTTTGCATCAGACCAGTAGGTGGCGCTGTGCTCCCAGGTGGCAATCAAAACATGCTTATGCTATTATGTTAGTACTGTAGGGCCTGACCAGAGGGAACTCATTCTTAAAGGAACACAGGTAAAATGGTAATAAACTTTATTTATACAGCCCCTCAAAACAAGGTCCCAAAGTGCTTGGATGAACCAAGATTAAAGCATTTCAGAACTGCAATCAGGCACAGAAAATAAGACAATTAGAAATAATACGAAAATGAAATTCAGTAAAGTACACACAATACAACATAATATTAAGAAGATGTCACTAATTCTGCAACCCTCTGATCTTGCTAATCAGACAAGATTATGAATCTAATGCATGTCATGTATTATACTTAAAAAGCACTTTGAAATATATTTTGAATATTCCTCATCACGTAGCATAAGTTCAGGCTCCACAACATCTTGTGGTTACAGTTGCTATTCCCTGCCATGACTTGGGAAATCAATAGTTTTAAAATGAAGTGGTTGCAGGAAAAGTTGAGTTAGTGTGTGTGCATGTTTGTGTGTGTGTGTGTGTGTGTGTGTGTGTGTGTGTGTGTGTGTGTGTGAGTGAGATGGTAATAGATCATATTTCCCATGGTGTCATTCACCAGCCATGTTCCATTAATCTCCCATACACTCATATTGCCTATGATAGCACTATCATTCATACTCACACGCAAAATCTGAGATCATGTATGTGTGTGTGTCTGTGTGTGTGTGTGTGTGTGTTTGTGTCTAACATGTTGACATGAGGTCATCTGTCTCTCTCAGTCGAGGCAACTTACTTTGTGTTGAGGCTGTGTGTTTTGCCAATTTATAATCTGCAGGTCTGTAAAATAGATTTACACAGGCGGTTTGTCGATAATTGTCAATTGCAGTTTGATTCTGTGAATTTAACTTACACCATAAGATACCAAAGTTACCACCAAACACTCAAAAGCATCATCAATAAACCTCAACATAGTAATTTCCCCCTGCGATTATTAAAGTATTTCTGATTCTGATTCTGATTCTGAATTGCTAGCCATTGAAAAGTTTAGGGAAGCGGCTGCATGCTGCTCTTTATTGGAGATGAGGTTTACAGCTAGAAAACACTTCCAAAAAAGCAGAAATCTCACATTTGTGTGGCTTGTCCAAGTATGTTTTTCAGTGCAGCCAGAACAGGTTCATTGTTGCCTCTTGTGGCCATGTGCCTCCTGGTCCAATTTGCAACTAAGTGGGATGTAAAAACCTGAATCTACCAGTGCACATACACTGAGAATGGACTTAACAGTGAAGTAGGAGACAACTTGTGTCCAGCGGGAAAACCTTAGAAATGAACAGATTTGCATATTCATAGATTCTGGAAATATTTAATGAGGTAGAAGGAGTGGATGCCTTTTCATGTGGAAATTACACTTTTCATATCAGACACACATTATTGTTCCTAGCAGATTATTTGTATATATTTCTGAACACATTTCCGGGAGGATCTTCAAAGTTTGCTTTAGCAGAAATGGACAGCCCCAGGATGGGAGTGCGGAAAAACTGCAAAACAAACTCAAATCAATGATCTATTTTCTGAAATAAACTTGCTAAGTTCTTTGGGCTAATAGGCCGGCATACAATTTGCCTCCTTTACTTACGTATCCAGCAGAAACAGAGAAACACGGGTATCTCAAACTTCCTCTTTCTGCCATCCGTTGAATGTAAGTCCTGTATTCACTGGTGTTTGAGCTCTGGATTGATCTGCAAACTTAACACTAAAATATTAGACCTTCTATGGCCTTGTTAAATGTTCGACTTTGACTTTGGCTCAACTATGTAGGCCAATGAACCAAAGCAAGGAATTTGCTGCAGAGTGGTCTGTTAATTCATAGCTGAATTTGGCACTGAATTTGTTAAAGCAACCCTTACACATTACAGGGAGTCATTTCTTTCGATGTTGACATTGAAATTGTGCCTAATGGAGCTTTAATTGAATGTTTAACTGTGATATTCATTCAGCCTCTGACTTCTGACTTCTTCTCTCTTTAGAAGAGTCTGAGTCCAAAGTGAATTTCTAGATTCGTAAGTGAAGCAAATTAACATTAATAATTAGCTTCTTATTAATTTGCTCTCGACAGTCATGTTAACATATCTTACACGCCTATTTCAGTGTGTGTGTGTGTGTGTGTGTGTGTGTGTGTGTGTGTTTGTCTTTTTGTGTCTCAGTCAATTTTGTATGCTTTATTGGCAGGAATATTAGACAGACTGTTAACAGAGCTTCTTAGTACAGCTGTGATTCATCAAAAAATAACGTCGGCAATGTCCAATTCTGTTTCCCTGAATGTTTATTTGTGTGAGAATGAGTTTCAGTCCTAGTCACCGATTTAGAAAATCAATCTGAAGGTAATTTAAGTTTTCACTTTTTATATTTCCTGAAGTCAGATTGTTTCAGATTAACTTCATATACTCAGATGTGAGCAAGCCAGTTTGTAAAAAGAAAGCACAGAAGAAAATCAACACAAACAAAGCTGAGTCATACAGTGCTTAAAGTCTGACATATTGGAGAAAATGTTTGATTATTTTCTATTTTACCTCACCGTCAGTAATACTTTAAACAATCACTGATATAAATCTCATTTGTTTCTTTTCCACCATCTCCCTTGCTATTTCTCTAACTGCAGATATGTATCGTCTGGAGCTGGCGGGTGGTCTGGGGGTCATATTGTTGCTGCTGGGAGTCCTGACGGCACTTTATAAGTGTTACAACCTGGAGATCATGCTCTGCTACAGGAGACACTTTGGGAGTGATGAAACTGAAGATGGTAAGCCTTTTCGTGCACCCACGTTCACTTAAGGACAATCATACAACAGCGGTTTCCAGACAGGCAACTCACCACAGAACCAGAGCTTATATTAACAATCGTATTGCACCAGGAAGGGCAGAGAACTACAAACATGGAAGACAGCAGCAAAAGCACAGTGGTGGGCATACAGTTGAAAGTAAAGTTGCCATAAGAAGCAATAAAATGTACAAAAGATATAATTACACTCAATCAAGTCAACTTAAGTCAAAGAAAGCAAATAACAAAAAAGTTTTTGTTTTCTCAATTGACTGGGTGAAATTTTCTTTTCTTTTTGGGATGGTCATCGATTGATGGGACAAGGACGAGCTTCATTTCTCACAGTACTTGTCAGAAGTAAATATTGACGAGCAATATGAGCAATTGGTAGGAGTTGCTTAAAGAAAACAACAAAAAAATTGAAGAAATAAAATGACAAAGATGTAATTTTGTAGAATTGATTCAAAGTATTGATTTCAAATTAAAGCCCTGAGTCAGCCTGCTTTCCTTGGCAGCCAGGGTATTCCCAAGATCTCAAGCCCCGAAACTACCGATTCCCTCTATTCTCATCAAGACCACATGTAGAATTGATTAAGAAGTATCAGCATTCACAAGGTGGTTGGTTTCTGATCCATTGCTTAAAGAGAGACCACTGGCACACCAATCAAACAGAGGGAACACTCTGAAATTGGCAGTTGTCTTAGAAAGCTAACTGCCCTTGGCACACCAATCCAACAAATTCAAACAAAACAATTGACCAGACTTAACAGTTCAAAGAGCTGACTTAAAAACTGACCTCAAAATGGAGAGTGAATAAGATTTCTACTGTAATTTAGATACACTCCTTGTTCTAAAACACAATATTGGCATCATCGGGAGAAAATCTGGAGCAAGCAGTGGTTATTACAAAGACAGCAGAAAAGAGCTTTTCATCTCATCCGTCATTAGCTGAAAAATTAAGACAGAAACGGTTTTGCAAAACCTCTGTAGAGTCGCTCAGAGCAGCACTACAGGCTATTGGACACCTGTTACACCACTTATACGACTTAAAATAAATGACCAATTATAGCGACTACATCTCTCCAGGGGAACGATTGATGGTCACTTTAAGGTTTGTGGCAAGCTACCAATAAGGATAGCTTCATCAGGGCAGTCCAATTGCAAACACATTGGCATGTAGGCAATATGAATAAACATAGCTTGATTTATCTTAATGTAAAATCATTTTCGCCTTACTCAACATAACAGCAAAAAATACCCAGCTGGTCCAGTGAGGGTAACACTAATGCTGGGCATGTGCAAGCTACTTTGATATGGCTACAAATGCTATATGTGTGCTGTCGGCGTAACTGTCTATTTGAAAGCATGGCCAACTGATCAAAATTCATCAAACACGGACAAACACAGATTGAACAAACGGACCAAAGATCACCAAACAATTCGAGACAAGGACGGACAACTATGGCACACCAAACAAACACCTGTGTTTGTCTGTGTTTGTTAGAGAATGTTTGATTGGTGTGCCATGGCCTTAACATATTTACCCTGCACAAATAATGCAATAGAATCACAACATTCGAGAAAAAGTACATTCTTAAATACAGTAACAAATATACGATCTAATTTGTATTTTGACCAGCCCAGTGATTTCATGGGTGGTGGGCAAAAATAAGTCAAAGAGATGTCTACTTTTGTTTCTACTCAGTCTGACTCACTGTTTCTCTCTTCACAGATAATAAGGAGTATGATGCCTATCTGTCTTACACTAAAGTGGACCTCGACTCTCTGGGCAGGTCGGTCACATCTGAACACATGTATATGTAACAAACAATGCTTTCTTATCATGCTATCAACACTAGTTACACACAGTGACAACAGTATGAAAGGACTTGATAACATTGCCCATGTTTGTTGGACATTAAAGGCTTGTTAAATGTAGATTTAATACCATTGTTTAAAGAAGACGTTCAACAATTTGGGAAATAAAGTATTTAATGTTCTTTCTGAGAGTGAGATGAGAAGATTGATACCAATTTCCTTTCTGTGCGTTAAGTATAGAGCTGGAATCATGGCGTGGTTAGCATAGGTTAGCATAAAAACAGCAAGCCTGGCTCTCTCTAAAGTGACAAAGTCTGCCTACCAGCACCTCTAAAGCTGACTAATTAACACGTTGTAATTGATATTTTTAAAATATGTACACAAATAGCGATGTAAAAAACACCTTTTGTGGTTTTAGACCGCGTTAATTGCTGGAACTATTTCTTGGCAAACAACAGTCTGGCACAATGGTTTTATGCAGCATCCAGAGTCGTGTCATTACAGCGAGACTGCCAGGTTTGGTAACATTGTGTCTGTACACAGACCTCTGGCAGCTCGGGCTGTAGCCAGGGATGCTACAGTGTAAACTGAGGATGAATAACTGCAGCTTATCAAGGAATAGTTACCAGCTCACTCCCCCTAAAATCCCACATTGTCTATTTAACAGTTCTGTTTCTGTGTACAGATTTAAATAAATACTAAAATGTGTAAACTTTAGAGGTGAACAGGCTTGCTGTGTCACCGTGTTTCCAGTCTGTATGCTAACCTAAGCTAATGACCTCTCTACTCGAACTCCATACTTATGTAAGAATTAGTAAATAAAATAATTAAAATGATCAACAGAATGTGAAGAAATAAAGGTTTTGACTTTCTGTCAAAGATGTCAATGAATTGCAGAGAAATCTATTGAAATTAGCATGCTAACCAGCTAGCGTGGCGAGTTCGCTATGTTACACAAGTTCTCTTAGCTCCCGTAGTCTGTATGCTGTCCGACCTCCTTCTCGCTCCTCTCCTGTTTGACGCTGGCATTTGACAGGTGGAGAGTAGTCTCAGCTCTTATATATTGCACCTTTAATGATACAAAACTGGTATCAATCTTTTTATTTCCCTCCTTTAAAAACAAAACAAACTAAAGTACGCTAAGCCATTGTTTCTTACAGCTGCTTCACAGTAAAAGCTATATTTGTTGACTTTAATTCAAGCTCAGTAACAAGAAGCCCATCACATCCAGCTTAATGATGTCACATTTAGTTTATTTTCAACTGTTAACACCTTAAAAGGCATTTGCAGTCACCACCAGGTGCTCATTTAAAAGACTGTTTTGCAGTTGATTTTGAATCTGGAGCCATACTTGTTATTCCCTTCCTCAGCAGGACGAGCAGTGATGAGGAAACATTTGCTTTGGAGATCCTACCGGACGTTTTAGAGAAACATTATGGATACAAGCTGTTCATACCAGACAGAGATCTAATACCCAGCAGCAGTAAGTATCCATCTAGCTCTCTACCTTAATTACCCTGCCCCCCAACACACACACCAACACACACACAACCTTTCTCTCCCTCTGTAGCCTACTATAGCCCTCAGTACCCAGAATGCATCATGACACAAACCACATCAGTATATAACTAAAAGTTTCCCACACATTCATGTCTTGAAACTAACACAGGAACCGTCTGCAGATCACTTCTAGATATCAGACACGGTTGGTCACATGCATTGCACAACCCAGTTGTTTGTGCAATGCACACGCACAAAAACACACACCGTTTGTCATCATTTCTGGGGTTATGTGTCACTCTCTGTCCAACTGGAGGGGGAAATATGATTGTTATTGCTGTTATCTGTCAATGCTCTGACCTGACACACACACACAGGTGTACACAGACCTGCATTACAGACACACACAGAAAGGCAGAAAACATAACTCTTACTGCCATGCACTTAACACACACACCATCTATGTGTTTGTCTATCTAACCCGCTTCATTTGACCAATATACTAAAATAAACAGTGCAAGGTTAGTTTCCTCTCGACGGTGACAGTTTGTGGATTGCAGTGTATATTGCAGCTGTTGCCAACAGATGCTCAGAATGACAAATTTATACACTCTCAAAAGGCACACTCAACACTCTTAAATAATTTAATTATGACAAAACAATCAGGACAATTTTGCAGGGTATTGTGGCTATACATGCAATCAGAAGAGTGTGTGTGTGTGTGTGTGTGTGTGTGTGTGTGTGTGTGTGTGTGTATGTGTGGTGAGAGGAGGCGTAATGTGCTGATTTGTCAGTATTGTCAGTAGACACACACACACATCCACACACATCCATCAATGTTAAGCTCATCTCTGGCCTTGCAGGGACAGTGAATGGAGCTTTTAGATTGAAATGTATCGAGGTTCATCTGTTTCATACCACTGCCAATAAACCCACATGTGAAATTCTCCCAAACACAAAGGCACATTCTTACACATGCATTAAATGTTTATATGTCCCTGTCTGTGCACATACGCTGGCTTTCTTGGTTATTTGTACAGTAGGGGAGACCATTAAAGCTAAAATAATCAAATAATCAGTATTCTTGTAATAACAATTGAGGGTGACTCTGCAGTGTCCCTCAGTTCCACAGAGCGTTTTAGTGTCTTTCAGCTCATAGTGTTGGTTGTGACCTTACACATATGATTCAGTGTCATTGCTCTCATCAACCCTGTGTTTACCCAGAGCAGCTAATTTTATTGATCGAGCTCTGATAAAGTTAAAGCCAGAATAAAACTAAAAATGTTATTTTCTTTTTGTTAGCTGAAAGCCGAAAGAAAATATATAAAATCAGGCCACTTCCCATAGTACAGTGCCATGTTTCTTGTCTGACTTCATAGTCAGCCGACACACACTAATTTTATTCCACATGCAAATGCTGTCTTGCTGTAAAAGACTTCCCAACTTCATTTTAAAAACAAGTGTCAAACTACTGCATTAAATAAAAATATGGAGTCATTATCCTGTTTCAGGACCAAAATAACATTTCAACTTGTCCAGAAAACTTCCTAAAAACAAATGTAGACACTAAAATAACTCTATAACGTGGCTAGAAAGTAACAAACTAATGTGTGTTATTTACATTATTTAACATTTTCTCCTAAAATGCATAAACAAATTCACTTATTTAAGGCTCATAATAAATTGCCATGCTCTACATAGTTTGCCCTTAGCCAAAATTATGCCTCCTCCCAACACACACTCAAGACAAACACACACAACACCGCCTCCTGAAAACAGATTAGAAAGTCATATTTCCTCCAGAAATGAGGCTTCCTCTCTGTGCCCTGAAAACATCCTAAAAACAAATGTCCACTGTGCATAACTACACACATAGCTCTAAGGTGCCTATGAACTAAAGGTTACGTAGTGTGAAAAACACACTGAATGAGTGAATCACAGAGACCGAGAGAGGTGCCTTTTCATTGCTAACCGAAGCCATTGTCAGTACAACACTGCGATGCGACCTAAAATATACCATTCAATTATCCACTCCATTAGCCCTCCGAAATTAACAAGAGAGCGAGAAATAAACAACGGGGACAGAAAGAGGTGGGGATGGGGTCATTGGTTTGTGTTATTTCATTAATTGATTTACATAATCCTAAAAAATAGAGAGTAGGAAGAGGAAGGGAAGGGCAGGAGAGAAGAGAGGAGGTTAAGTGTGAGGAAAGAAAGAGCAAAAGATAAAGAGAGAGATGGAAAATTAAACCGGCGAAAGAAATAAAGAGACAGAATTTTGAGATGTTCTGTACTATTTGTGCCCCTCAAATTGAGCGTGAAATTGCAATGTGTTGCTGGAGAGTCTCTGTCATTAATTTAGTTAGCAAGTGAGGAGATAGTGAAGGAGAGCGTCATACAGAGAAAGAACCCACATACATTTTCAGTAACTACAAATTTGAGAAATAATGAGCAATTTCAGTGACGCGTGTTCCAAAAAAAAAAAAAGGAAAGACATTGAAAATATCACAAACAACTATTTGGAAATGAGAAATGATAAGTTCCCACTCGGCTCGGTGTGAAGCAACAGCACCACAGTGAGGATAAAGAAGAAGCATTTACAGCTGCGGTGAACTCTTTTGGCTCTATATTGACACATCTCTTCCTCAGATTGGCTCACTTTTCACATCTCATCACCTACCCATTTACCATTTTCCTCTCTAAGTTACAAGTAAAAGCTGATGGTGGTGTATCAGCACACCTCTGATCCCCATTTAAGAGCTGACTTCACTGCACTGTGTCAGAGCCAAAAGTCTTGCACAAGCATTTCTGTCACTCTGCTATACACTCCTGTCAGTCATTCCGGTCATTTATGAACAAAATGAGCTGAAGGATGCTGGCAGCAAAAAGCAGGCTAATACTATATAGGGAGGTTTTATCCTACATAATTCCTCTTCTTCCATCGTTTGAAGCTATTTCCATGTTATTAGTTATCAATAAAACACTTTTCTCTAACTCTTTTATTTTCTTATTTTTGAGAAAAAGTAATCGATTCCACCCTCAGACTGCATTATATATATGAGGGGATTAGCCTAGCTTAGCATAAAGACTTGAAACGGGGAAACAGCTAGTCCGACCATTGCCAAAGTTTAAGCCTACCAGCTACAGCCACCAAGCAAAGCTGGTAAAATATTGGACCTGAGAATGTATGTTATGTTAATTTATTTGCATTATGTGTGAAGTTACAATATATCCTAAAGTCAAGATGTGCGTGCAAGTTCAGCAAAAACAAATCCACCTAGCAGCAACACTATTCAATTCAATTCAATTTTATTTGTATAGCGCCAGTTCATAACAGAAGTTATCTCAGGACACATACACTACATGTGTGTGGTAACTTCCTTGACTGTTATGACACATGAGGAAGCGACAGTCCACTGCACCCAGCTGTTGTCTGGCAGGAAATAGTTATAGTGCACAATAACCTTTATAGCTGCAAATGCAAATACATTTTACTTGTATGTACAGGTTTTCAGTCTAGACAGATCTGACTAGCTTTTCCCCCTTTGCTTTTTTGCTAGCTAGGTTAAAGACATTCTTAACTCACAGACACTAGGTTGATGTAAAGAAAAACCAGAACACTTTTACTCTCTTCATTCTGACTTTCTTCCTGCTCTTTTTAGCGTTAACTTGGTCCCCATGTCTGTGTCTCCCAGCCTACATTGAGGACTTGGCTCGTAGCGTGGAACAGAGCAGACGTCTGATTATCGTTCTGACTCCAGAGTTTGTCGCCAAAAGAGGGTGGAGCATCTTCCAGATAGAGACACGCCTGCACTCCATGCTGGTGACTGGGGAGATCAAGGTGTGATCTGGGAAGTAAAACGGGAAATCTATAACGTGTCCTCAACTTTTCCGGCTTTATCACAATTAAACACCTCTACCTGTGCGTCTCTGTGTGTCCAGGTGATCATGATAGAGTGTGCAGACCTGAAGAATGTCATCAACTACCAAGAGGTGGAAGCACTTAAGCATACAATCAAGGTATGCAGAGAGAGTGATGATTAAAGGGAGGGAGGGAAGAAGGGTGTAATCTGAAGGGTGACATTAGACAGCAGGAGACTAAAGCAATAACAAAAACAATCTCTCTTCTCCTCCCTGCAGGTTTTATCCATCATCAAGTGGAGGGGTCCTAAGAGCAATGAGCTGTCATCTAAGTTTTGGAAACAGGTGGTCTATGAGATGCCTGCTAAACGCAGAGAGACACTGTCCAGACGCCAGGTACACTGCCAAGTTTTCCACAGTCATGTACACACTGGCACTGTTTGTTTGAGCAAAATCACAAACCTTAACATTAGCTACCAAAAGAAATGCTATAATAATAATAATAAGTGCAGTTTTACTTTTCTTATGCATAAGACAGATTCAATTTGCCTGCCTGAAAGAATAATGAAATCCTTTTCCATCTACTCATGGGTCATACTCTCACTATAGTGAAGAATGGTTCCCAACCTAATTTCTGTGAAGAAAAAAGTTTTAATTATTATTTAAGATATAAACAGGATTAGAGCACGGTGAAGACCTGAACATGAAGTGCATGAAGCCTTCACTCTGCTAAACAGCCTTATTCTGCATTAGAAAAGTAAAAAAAAAGTATGTAAACACAAAAATACATAATACAGACAGAGAATTTTATAAAAGGTCCCTTAAAATATCAGAAAGATTCCTCTCTGATGCAAAATTCACAGGAAATAATCTGCTCAATATCCATCCAGATCTCTCATTTAACACAGACTTCCTGCAGTAATTGTGTTCAATGTTTGGTTTAATTGTACAGTTTATCAGTTGATCTGTACTGTTATGCATTAAATAGAATATGAAATATACATATAATATGTCACTTAGTCAGGGGCTGTCAGTTTATGTAATGATAGCAAAGAGGTCCCTTAAGGAAAAAGGTTGAAACCACTAGGATAGTGTCTGCGAGTGCGAAAAAATTGCATTGGAAATTTAGTCTGCGTATTTACTTATGCTCCCCCGAGGTGCATACATTCACAACAACCAGGTGGCCTTTGAAATGTCTGCTAAATACAGGTAATGTATGAAAATCTGAATCACAGTGGGGAGAAATGTGTATGCGTTTACCATGTGTTAACACCTCAGGTGGTATGTGCCCTGATTAGCAAAGAGATGTTGTCATGCTGCTTGGTACTGGAGAATAATAATTGAGATACAAATACAGAGATAACTGTGTAACTGTAACAGATGGGAGAGTATCATCTTAATGTCCTTCAGTGCCTTAACAATTCATGTAGTAGAATTTTGACAATGATAATAAGAGTATTATCGAATGGAAATTAGCCGTTTTGGGTCTTTATTTTGCTGCTTATTATGTGATTTCAGTTTAACAGTGAAATAAGAGTATATATTCTTTATGTATGGAACAGATTAGTCAAACTTTGTAATGTTTACTCCTTTAGTTTTATTCGTTAGGCCAGCTGAGAACAAACTCACAAAGTGCCCAAAAAAACACCACACATAGAACAACCCCAAATTTCAGGCCTTTCTGAGTTTAAGTGGATAGACATTGGCATCTGATAGTCTGCAGTTATTCATGCTTAGAAAGCCTGATATAGCACAATGAAGCCAAGAAAGGGTGAAATGCCTCTTCAATTTATGGGCCAAGGAACACACTTCCTAACTTTTTGAAAAATTGCACAAGAATGCTGAAGAATTTAAGCCATCCATCATGCTCAGTAACATACACTGAATGGCAATCAGGTGTGTTATGACCCCTCACCACCATCAACATCCCCAACCTTGGAGGATGACATTTTATGGCGGGCCTAAATCCATGTTACTTTTGTTTACCTGTCCTAGTTCACTTTAAATTGGACAGTGATAACCTAGATAAACCAAATACATAAATGCAACAAAGTGAACTTTAGCAAAATGGTTCAGGACAAAGGAAACAAAGGCTATAAATTAGCCCTTTTTTTGTTGCTGTCAGTAATTGATGGTTTAGTCATATCACTGTCAACGCTATTTTCTTTGAACATACTATATACATAATACATCTGTGGCAACTACTGCACTTTAAATGAAATGTGTTTTAAGACTAACTTACAAAAATATAGTATAACGATAAAATCCTGCACAGTGAACGTGAACATAACTCATATTAACTCAATCCAATTAAAGGTTAAGGCTATAAGGTGGTATTCAGATTTTTTTCTAGCTGTGCATAAATCCAAAAACTGACACGTGATAGTATATAATCATATAATCTATATATGATATCTACTGTATATAAACAGATGCATAGTTCTACTAAGTCTTCTATTCTATTAAGTTTTAAGTCTGAATCATTTTCTAACACTGTAGTTTTTTTTTTTAAATCTTACTCAAACAATAGTACATCATGTTTTTGTTGGACTATTTTCAGCCGCAGATTAATACACATTTGGTGCTCCAGTGAGTATTTACAGCAGCAGGATATATGGCTCTGTCTACAAAGACAACACTTGTCAGTCGGATAATAAGATAAGAAAAACATAGAGTATCTCTATCACAGTCTGCACAGTGAACGCCGTATAATTTTGTTTCTGTGTTAACAGGTGATGGACTCCGGTGAACAGGGCCTCTTTGGTGACCTACAGACCACCGTCTCCACCATTGCCATGACAACCACCTCAGCCTCCCTGGTGCCCCCTAATGATAGTCGGCATGGACATCATCAGGTCAGCTGTTGCATGCGTATTACTTTAAACGGATGTTGTTACTCAGTGTTGTTGAATCTAGTGGTGTTAGGTAGTAATGACATATACACAGATTTCGCTTTCACACTACTATTCAAGGACACAACATTAGACTAACTTATATAATCTACCAAAATATTGTAAATAACGTATTTTGAAGCCGTAGAACATGAGCATTTTGTTAAGATATGTTGTACCGTGATCTGTACAGCACGGGTGTGGTAGGCTATAGGATTTTAGGCCTATAGCTGTGACCAGAGTTTAAAGCAGTCTTTTTTTGGGTAACAAAATAATTTAAATTCGTAACTGATGCAAAATAATTGCAATGATGTGTAGCAGGCACAGACAACACAGAATATTATGGTTTTTCCATACGACTGGAGGACCAAATGTATTGCTAATAAATAATTAAGTTCACCTTAAAACAAGTGCTGAAACACCCCCACCCCGCAGGTCCTAGTGCAGGTATAAGGTTTAACTGCTCGAAATAATACTTGAGGTGATCAAAGTTAGCAAGAAGTCATGTTCTCTCACCCCAGGTTGCCCTGGCGACAGAGATCCCCGACTACAACCAGATGACCTTGCCGCTGGGAGGTGGTCATACTGCTACAGCAGCCCAAATGAGACATTTCTGCCGTAGCTACGAGTTCCAGCTTCCTCCACAGCCTTCCTCCCTGTCACCTCCCCTCCCACCGCCTTCCACCGTGCAGTTCTCCACTCTGGGTCCCGGGGGGCGCCACGTCTATTGCAACATCCCTATGACACTGCTGAATGGACAGGTGGGAGAAAAGACAGCGCCACTTATTTTATGTTTTTTTTGCAGTTCCTTGTTAGTTTCTAGCATCCAACATCTACACAGTGTATCCTTTTCTTGAATATCCATGCTGTTGTTTATGTGCATGTTCTCAGAGTTTAAACGCATTAAAAATAAAACCCCTCTTTTCTCCCCAGGGGTTCAGAGCAGTTCACTGGGGAACAAGAGGTCTGTTTGGATAGAAGAAATGTAGAAAGAAAATAGTATCTTCATATTATCCAGCCTAAATTTTTTATTTATTTTAACAGACTGGGAAATAGCTGTCATATGCAATATAGTTTTTATATATGAGGCATGGTGGACTATTGGCATGCAGTAGTACTGTATATACTGTAGAATGCAGTCCCTGTTTTCCCTTTTTAATTGTAGATTTTGGCTAGGAGTTGTCGTGTGGGGGAGATTCCTGCTAATCACCGTGCTGTGTTTTTTCCAGGGGCCTCAGAGCAGTACGCTTGGGAAGAAGCCAGAACTCCACCTGAACAGCACCTTCGTACCGCTCACCAGCAGAGAACTAAGCTCTGACATCTGGTAGAAGGACTGCTCAACTGGTACTGGATAATAGTCCGGTTTACAGACTGCTTTTACACTGGCTTCGGACATGGGATAGGCTGGTTGGTCAACTGCTTTTCATTGGGTTTTTTGGACCGTGTACAGCCTTGGCTACCAGGACTGCCTGCAGACAAGTTTTGGGCCACTTTATCCCATTGTGTGAACAAAGGACTGCTTGAAGACTGTATAAGCCTTGGATTCACATTGGTATACTGGCTGCAGACTGCTCACAGACAGATTACAATACTGATTGTACACTGGTTTTGGACCTACCAACTGGTTACAGACTGATACAACCTGATATGTAAGGTGTGTGGCCATGACCATTGGAAAGGAGCCCTCTTACACAACACGATTGGTCACACGCATTTGACTGCTGCAGAGAGTTTGTAGACAAGTATGGACATGTGGATGTAATGAACTGGAAAAGTCAGTGAAAGATCCACGGTACTTAAACAGTGAGTAGGTATCCACAGACAGGAGTTCTTTTTAATTCGTTGAACAAGCTACGGATTTGGACCTTGGAGTATCTCGTAATTGCAGTCTGCTCACACACCAGCTGTGTACCTGGAAAACCAGTTGATTGGTAAACTACTCGGAAATATTGGTCGACTGAAAAACAAAAGTAGCGTAATCTCCGAATGCCAGTCGATCTGAGTTCTCATAATCTACCTGTTGACTAGGTGGCTTATCAATAACCAAGGCAGACTTCAAGCAATGATTTTGGAATACCAGTTCACCTTAAAACAACAAGTCAACCTCTTGAAATACAATAGGTGGCTAGCTAGCCAGCTTGCTACCTGGTTTGGCTCTTAGAAGCTAAAATGGTTGACATAAAAGAAATGGATTCCAGCAAGAATAGATAGACAAAAAGAAGTGATGCATAAAGCAATTGCTAAACCTAATTACTGAGAAAGCACAGTTCGCTGGTGTATATGGAAACATAGCTAATTGTTAAAACTAGCTGACTAAAAGGTTAGTTACTTCTTGAGCTAGGAGGATGCTAAAAGGCACCATGAGACTGCAAACCAGCCAGCTCATCACCTTGTAACCCAGTAATCAGCAACTAGTCAACTCATCAAGAGGTGGACTGGCCAAGAGTTGACCTACCAACTTTCACCATCAAGCTGAAAGCATAAAGGACTTGGCTTTTTCTATTTGCATGACCACCCATTTAGATAAAAAAAAATAATCAAATAAACATAGATAAAAGAGTAAATGACACAATCATTTCTCGCAGCCTCTTTTAATATGGAGGAGAATAATCGTCTTATGTTGATACAGTATATTTGTTTTCTGTCGGGCCATGAAGTAATGATAAAAACTGATAAAGGGAAAAAAGGAGGTGTCCCTCCAAAAACATTTTTATTATTTATTTTGTTTTATTTAAGAGTTTTATCCTCTTAGAAGGTTGCCAGGCTTTGTTCTTAATGTTTGTTTGTTACAATAATCTCTGTACAGCTTCCATAACTTGCATAGACCTATACATGACAGTGATTTGTTCCCTGCAATTTCTGTTAACACCCACATTAAGTGTGTGAGACCCAGACCCCCTTTTTGCTTTCATTCAGTTCCTATTTTCATCAGTGGATGGATGGAATGGATGGATGATAGATAAATAGATACATGGATGGATGAATGGATGCTCATGGCAGTACAACCCTGCTAACGGACTGATGTTTTGAGCCTGTCACTCTGGAATCGAGACCACTACCAGTCAGCCGAAGGGGGCTTCACTGCATAAAAGCCGGACTCCAAGTTGAACCAGACCACATTATTCTTTGTGAGCTTTAAGAAACCAAGATTATTACCATAATATTTAAGCAAAGTGAGTAATGTTTTGAATTTACACAAAGGTACTGTCATTGTCTTATTAGAACCAATGAATTCTGGATATTTGAGATTGTTTGATACAATAATTAATTATTTGAGTTGTTATATTCAATGGCAATATACAGTATAGTGGTTGTCTTTTGGTTTCTGATTTCTTTGACTATTCTTTGGATATATTGGTTGAAATAATTTAACTGAGAGCAAATAAAAATCATATGAGTTGTTTTGTACATTTTGGATGCCTGTCGTCTGACCTAACTGTTATTTCTTATTTCCTCTGCTTTTTCCCCAGTTTCTCCTTGTCTGTTTTAATTTTGTGTTTCTTGCAGATTTTCTGCAAGGTGTTTCCTTTTTTTCCAACTGCCATCTTTCTCATCTGTAATGGTCCACACACACTCAAGGTTCCAGCTCCTTCCCAGCCCACTTCCTCTACACTCACAGTCATTTGGATTTCCTAATAATGCCTAAGTACTGAAAGTGGAACTACACTTTTCAGTTCTGCTAGCTCCCTCTTTCTAGCATCAGATACCTGCAAAGGACACTTTAGGGGGCATGGCCTCGATACAGACCAGAGTGATTGACAGAACAGCTGCTGCTATGTGCTTCTGCTGACATTCTTCCGCAGTGTGTTTTATAAAGTTGCCCAAAAAACACAGCTCGCGTTTTCTCACCCATTTTTCAGTTTTCAGACAACAGTAGGCGTTCCTCGTTGAAGAAAATAAATAATGTGCCTACCATCTCCTCTAAATTCCACTAATTAACTCATTGTATCTCACCAGTTTAGTTCTTACACAAATAGAAATTGTTTTCCCCTGCTTCCAGTCTTTGGGTAAACTAGGCTAATCACCTATGCCATAGCTCCCAGATTTACATACGTGATAGTGGTACTGAAGTTCACACCTAACTCTCAAAATCAAAAAGTGAGCATGCAAACGGATTTCCCAAAATGTTGCATAATTTCTTGAAAGGTCCAGTTTATAAGATTATGGAGAAATTGATATGTAATATTCATAGGTATTTTTTCATTAGTGTATAATCACCTGAAAATAAGAATCGTGTTTTTGTTCCCCAAGAATGAGCCGTTTTTATCTACATAGGGAGTGGATCCTCTTCAGAGTCTGCTATGTTAAGCAGTTGCACTTAACAACACTTAATAAAAAAAAGTTATACATAATGAATATAGAAACATGGTTTAGCCTAGTTACTAGGTTCAATGAGAAAAAAAAATGTGTGCAGAAACAAATTAGACCAGTGGGTGTCTAGACTGACTGCTTGTCAGACAATAGCATGTAGGGAAGTACATTTGATTTCACCACGTCTGTAGGTCCCACAGCTGTGATGAGACGTGGTTGTGTGGTGTTGTGGAAATTTCTCTGCTACTGGTGAAAAATGAAATAGAGAACTTCTGCCGGCTCACAAAGTAACCTGCAATGTACATTGCCAAAAGACAACAAATACACAGTACAATAATAAAAACAGCCTGCTCAGAATGAGTATTGTACACTGAAAGGCTATATGTAATGTTTTGCAAACTGCCAACAAGGTAAATAGGCTTACTGCACAGTCAGAGATAATGTGGCTCTTAAAAGGGAAACTCACATGTGGGAGGTTTTGTGAATAGAAAAAGAGAGCCAGAACCGGGGAATCGGGCAGGCACTGACAGTTCTGGGGCCTATATGACCTGGCTGGCCAAGGAACTGGAGTCTGTTGCATCTGGATAATTGCATTTTCTTTTGAGAATGTTGTGTCCATGGTGGGTACGTAAGGGTGGTTTCAGGTGCATTAAGAAATACGGGAACTAATATTGGGATGCTGATATGCTCTCAATGGCAGTTTTGAACTTGCTGATGTTTAGCGGGTGTAATTTTTACCACGTTCACCATATTAGTTCAGCTTTAGCGTTTGCTTATTAGCACAAAACACAAAAAACTGCAGCAGCAAGTGTAGTACTGGACAAATTTACCTTGTGATGGTGCTAGAGGAACAGTCAGGGGATCACCTACGTCAGTGTTTCTCAAACTTTTTACACCACCTCAGAAAATATTAGGCTCTCCAAGTACCATTATGACGAGTAGCGTAGGCTGACCATATTAAGCTACAGGAAGTTCACACATCTTTATTCCTAATAAGTGTATTTTCTGGATCAATCAGTTTCAGTTTCATTTGTATAGCGCCAAATCCTAACAGAACTTATCTCAGGACACTTTTCAAATAGAGCACTCAAATCAAATTATTTACAGAAACCCAACAATTCCCACCATGAGCAAGGACTTGGCGACAGTACAGAAACCTTGAGCAGACCCCAGCTTTGGGTGGGCAGGTTCAAAAACCAGAGCTAATTTGGTGGGAAAGGGGTACTTCTGGTCCACACTTCTCTTTCTAATAGTTCCTGTTTGGAGCCATGATTGTTTTTTAACCATTCATTTTATCTCCTCTTACTATTTCACCATCACGTTTTAGCTTGTAACTAATCATGGATGTATGCATGTGCTACGTTCATGAACATGACTACGTAAAACAAAAATGTATTAAAAAATACAAAAACATTTCAATTGAAATGTAATGTTGGCAGACGTTGTACAATGCAGTGAAGTCAAATGAAACTGAGGCAGTAGAAGAACAACAGGGACCATCCAAAAATATGATATAATATCCCCCGACCATGTCAGCTCAAGAAACTCCCATGTTATCGTAAATGTTCCAAGAAAAACGTATGCAGATCACATTTAGCTTCATCAGTAATGAGGTAATACTTCTGAGAATATAGACATTACTCAGATCCTGTAGATACCATGATTGCACAAATGAAATGGAAAGGAAATGTCTCTTCACAGTGCAGATAGTAAGTAGGATTAACGGTATTAGTAATGTGTAACATCACCACCAACATTCAAAACAAAGAAGTGGATCCTGCTGGAACCAGGTATTAGCATGTTAAATGACTCCAGATATACAACACATATTTTGAATAATGATTGCTTGAGAAGCCCACAAATCCTTTTTCTAACTCAACATTTCTTTAAATGATGTGTTGACCTGTACTGAAAAGAGAGCATGGCTAGAATTATTTAGATATTTAAATATATTATTTATTACTATTTCATTAATAACATTATAACATCCCTGTTTGTTTACTTTTCATTTGCTTCCATTTCCTGATTGTTCATTGTTGCTTCTGCTTGCTGTTAACACAAACGCAACACTTTGTTTCACACTCAAAAGCTTCCCACCAGTTAGAGATGCATACTGTAAATATCTTCCCCTCGCTGGAATGCTTTTATTTTAAAACAAGTGTGTCCTATTATAAAGGTGTTTCTACTCTATTTTATATCGTCAAAAACATCAAAACATTACATTAACTGAAACTGTTTCAACTGAGCTACAAAAATTGCAACAGTAAGTAGACAGAAAATCAGCTGACAGCGTGCAATAATGATTCAAAGTTAACCACAAGTCATGTTGAGCCATGTACATCTACCTAAAACACCTTCAGCAGGCTCGTCAAATGTAGCATATTCAGCAGCAGCATTCATCTTACAATGTTGCACTGGTGGACAGCACATGTATTTTTTCAGAGCAGCGTGATGTCTGTTCGGGATGCCTGGTGCAGTTGTCTGACACATTCTACCACAAACCACAGTGCAGATGGTTAAAGTAGACTTCAACAGCAACATCCTCTTTTTTTACCTGCTGTTTGTCTGTTAGCTGCTGTATATGTCACAGCAGTAGGATTGGAAATCTTTGTCTACCTTTCGAAAATGCTGGACGAGTCTATTTCCAACTGGTAAGTCTAGATTTTAATTCAGTTCATTTATATTGACTTTAAAGCATCAAGCTCAATGAGGTTCTTAAATATAAAAGCTTTTATGAGAAATATGTCTGGCTCTTATTAAAATGGATCAGACTGATTGCAGTAGAGACTTCAGTCCTCACAAACATTAGTGCTCACTTTTTGTATCTGACTGTGTGCTCGTAATGTTTCATTGAGTATTTAACAAGAAAAGCTAATATCATCTTGTAGCTGATAATGCTGTAATATCAAGTAAATCTTTTTTCCTGCTTTCCACAGCAGAAAAACACAACAGTAATTTCTGTATTAATGACCCATTTTAACATTTTATCGAAGTTTCCACCGGGGGATTTTGGTAAATTTATATAATTACATTCATGTTTTTAAATCTTTTCTAATCTTTTTATAATCACATATTTCAAAAGTGAAAAATTGAAATAGGTTTCTTAACTCTCAGACAACAAAAGGTAACAACTATATGGAATGTCATTTATGTCAGTATTAAAATATATATATACATGCTAATGAAATAAATATGGCTATAAAATAAATCCTGAATGAACAAATTACACAATAAATAGAGTTTATAAATAAATGTAAACATAAATAAATAGTCAATATTGTTCAATAAATAAATGTTATAAGGAGTACAGTCTAGACCTGTCCTGAGATAACTTCTGTTATGAATTGGTGATATACAAATAAAATTGAACTGAATTGAACTGCAAAAATATATAGTTTTAATTAAAACAAAATGCAGAGACCATTTATTTTATTTTATTTTATTTCCTAATGTCATATGTATTTGTTTCCGGGTACTTTTCTTTCCTAATGACCATTTATTTCCCAGCTCTTTTTATTTCCATCTGTTGCCTTCAAATTAGGGTGGCATGGTTATCTCAGATTCAGACCGATCACAGCCTCTGAAACCAACAAAAGCACAAGACAGAGGTGGTTTTCTTGCAGGTTTTGGCTCGTGATAGCCTGCTTTGCCTCTACTCTTGGTGATTCACAAAATATTGCTGAAGTTACCACTAACTGCTGTAAACTGTAGCTACCTTTAGCTAGTTAGCCCAGATAGCCATGCAGCTTGCTGCCCTAGCTGTCGTCAAAGATTATGTTTTTCCGCAGTCCATTACAAAGCGTATTTTTAACAATCCAAAACTGGCCCATTGGCTTACGTCCTCCCTGCAGGATAAAAAGAGGAGGGAAATAAATGTGGCAAAGTCCCCTCAAATAAATAAAAGTAGTCATATGAAGAACATTCTTTTTTAAATAAAAAACTATTTATATATGTATTTATATGTATATTTATTTATATATACATTGCCTAATTTATTTATTTCATAGGCATATTTCTTTATTTATGTACGTAATATTGACATAAATTCAATTACTAATAGGTTGGGGTGCAGATAAATATAGATTTTCTCTCAATCGCTTCAAAAACATTTGTTAAAGTACTTAGTTAAAGTATTAACTCTCAGTGGCTAACGTCTGTCTGTTTAGCACTTTTTTAAACTGAAACTCACATGGTCCTAATCTTGTTCTGTAGTTGAAAGGCTCACCACAGACTTGTAAACTTTAACCAACACCACCAGCAAGAGTCATGTGACAGGAAAATGAGCACTATGTGCTCAAATACTAAATAATAGTATAATGCAAAGCAATTAAGATTAACAATATGATTCATACCTGTAAACTGTATTTTATAGCCAAGATATGACACAGCGTTTCCATAAGTTACTCCTCCTCATGACTTACAGCTTTATGACGTCAATAAATGAAGACAGGGAAGTGTCAAAATACCGAAGCATGACCAGGGTTTCTGCAGTGTTCATATCTGTACCTATAGATCAGGGTGGCACATTCATCCTGTCAGTGGTTTGGGACCTTCTTCATTATGTTGGTCGATTGGTTGTTTACCATTAGGGCTATGCAGGAAATAACTATATCACTAATAACAAGTTACACGTCAATATTCCCAATGTGTTAACACGCATCCCACTTTTCTCTACAAATGTTTGAGTGCTTGCAGTAAGTCCAGAGCATTTCATGGTTTAGGTAGTTCCTAAGGGATACAGATCATGTAGACTAATTTCTTTGCTCTAAACAGTCTAAACATAAATCACAGCTAATGAGGAAGGCCCATATTACTGGGCAAGGAAGAGGCAATATTAGCAAAGTGCTTCCTGATCCCAATCCAGTAATGGTTGTAAAGTGCTTCTGATGTGCAATTAAGGGGCATTAAAGATGTCTATTTTCACTTTTGTCTTGGCAGTGAAAAGACTCCATGGACAAGAGCTAGACGATGGTTCTGTGTTTTGATGCTATTCCTCATGATGGGAACTTTAATGTTAATCTTCTACAGTTCAAGCTTTCAAGACTGGTCTTTGACCCTTTCGACATTAAGGCCAAGCCGATATTACAACATAATGGAAGTTAGCAGTGTAAGTATGTTTACTGGCCTCTCTCTCATTTCGAAACAAAGGCAGTTATCACAAAGACAAATCCATACATATTGTTTTGTCTGGTTTATCTGATAATAGGAAAAGTCATTTAGATGAGTCATCAGCTGTTGCACATCACTGTTAACATGCTGATTCTTGTTTGATTTCATCAAGCTGCTGTTACCATGAAAATGTGTCTGGGTTAAGCAATAACTTTTAATGTCTGGATGTTCAAGACCGAATGTTTAATGTATAGCTGTTTAAAATTCAAGCAAGAAAATGAAATATGTATTTAGATTATTATACACTGCTAGCAAATTGCTTTTAGTGTAGTAAAGTGGAATACAGGAGATTTTCTCAATTGATGAGTTCACACAGAATGCGTTATGAATTTTTGACGCCCTATTTTGCTCTAGGATGTGTGAATTGTAATATGTTACAACTTGACCAAAATATTCTTGTTTATGATGCACTGTACTCGAAAAATGTAATCAATTACTTATGATAATGATTAATTACATTACAAAAAGTACCGGGTTAAATTAGGCCACGTATCACTTGATTATCGTTACTCAACACATCTCCGTCAAAAGGTGCCCGGTAATATTCACATTCCGCACATTCTGCGTTCAACGCATGTATAAAGGAAAAAAAAGACATTTGGAGGTTTTTCAATGACCAACAGCAGCTAACTCAACATAAGCATGGCTAATATTAAGCTAGCTATTAGTCCTGATAGCAAAACTAGGTTTTTCCTGACTTTCGGCTAACCAGTGGGTAATGTTAGTAAGCTGACTAAGAACACATAAAATACAGTATGCGACCACTTTGGAGGCATATTTCCTTTTTCTTAAAGGTCCAGTGTATAACATTTAGGAGGCTCTATTGGCAGAAATGGATTATAATAAGCTCTGTAGGAATACAGGAATCGTTATGTTTCAGTAGCCCAGTAAAGACAAACCAAACACTGGCTTTAGACAACTGCATTCACATTTTCCGTGCAATTTTCAGCCACCTTAGTTTTGCATTTGAGCTTGGAAGGGGAGGGTGAAGCAAAGGTTTTGCGATCTGCACTACACAACTAGATGCCACTAAATCCTACATACTGGTCCTTTAAAGGCTGCCTCCCACCTAACGTCTTCTTAAGTAACGTGTTAGTTCCCAACGTTGATCCTAGGGCTTTAATAATTCTACTTTACATATGTACAGAGACTGGAGGAAAATAACAGAAAGAGCCAGAAAGAGTTTGCAGTGAACTATGAGACCAGAGTTATACAGTGATATATTACTTTTAGCGGTAACAAAGTAATATAAGGCATTAGACTACTAGTAGATTTTCGGTAATATTATTCTATTTACTATGTCAAGTAGGCGTTACCACCTGAAATACAGACAGTAATATTGCTAAGAATTAGTTTCAAATTTGTTACCTTTTTAATGGAACTTGCCTGACGCTGTCCAACAGATACATTGCTAGGCAAAAATTTACTTTGCCTTTTTGTCTGAGCCATTTTGATTTTCTATAGGAAGCTATTATCATAGAGTAGACAAGAAAATAAGTATGTGCTATTGTGGTGCAATTTTCAGAAAATATCAACCCCTGCTTTCACAGGTCGCACCAGCTGTCCCTACAGCCTCAGAATACTTTGTGGCATACCCACAACACTACCATTTCATACTGGATGAACCCAATAGATGTCAGCAAGAAAGACCATTCTTGGTTCTTTTGATCCCAGTCGCACCCCAAAACAGAGAGGCCCGTGACACAATCCGCAACACATGGGGCAAAGAAACAACAGTGCTGGGCCAAGTGGTCAGGCACTACTTTCTGCTTGGACTATCCAAAGAGGAAGATGGGTCAGAGCCCCTTAAGGAGCAAGTGAGTTGATTCATTTATAGAGACACAGCAAGAGAGGGGAAAAGTCTGGGGTTCACTGAAATCCAAGTGCATTTCTGTTTTTGCTGTTTGCAAAATAAATAGGCCAACATGAATGAGCTGCAGCAGATGCTTCAGAGAAAATAAAACTCACAAGGTAATAAGAGCAGAGAAAGCAAAGAAGGTTGAAATGTAAGGTTATAGCTTCAGCCAAATAAAATGCACTACAGAGAGCGCTTGGGTACAATTTAGAGATGGTTTAACTCCTTTTTGTGCATGATCTGGGATGATGGCAATAATGAAGAATTTGATAGACTGCTTTCTACACTGTCAGACTAAAGATTTGCGAGGAGACTAAACGGTTCTAGATTGTTGCAGGGATAAGCTGCAGCGGTATGAACTGTCTTAGCTCAACTCATGTCGGCTGATGACATTGCATGTAACTCAGCTTGTCAAATGTCCAGAAGCTAGTTTTAGAATGTAAGTCACATCACGAGTTTCAGCAGCAACTTGGATCGTTGCGAAGTCAGCTGGTCAAGTAGGTTAACTGTCAGCTGGTCGAAATAGCAGAGTTTTGATCGAAGGAAAGAGAGGATCATCTCATCAATTTCCCAGTTTCACTAGTTAGAGCGGGGAAAGTCGTTGCTATGCAGATAATGATACACTGTTCCTGTTGATCTAGTTGCACTGGTGTGAACTGGCAGGGTTTCAGAATGTTCCAGGCACATTGCTAGTAATTGCAAGTTTCAACTTGTTCTAAAGGTATGTAGTCAATTCAATTCAATTCAATTTTAGTCACTCTCACTCGTAATGACAAACTCACTCAATTATCACCCCTCAACCATACAGAGTTTTTCAGTGTTTTTCAGATTTGGCCAGCGACTTTGGTTCAGTCTCACTCCTGTCATCAACCCTGTTCGTAGCAGCAGCAGACATCTGTTTTTAATCAAATGCTCTGATAAACCCATGGTGCGCTAACTGCCGAGCACCAAACGGCAGTCAAAGTTAGCGACGGTGAATAATTTAATGCTAATGAGCCAAGTATTTCCCCCAGGAATTGGTACCAGTAGAGTTAACATTGGACTTAAGTTGAACAGAAAAACAACTCCACAACAGTGCTAATGTTCCTCCATATGGGCAGGATGTGTAAATAAGCAACTCACTGCTCTTGTTTCTGCTGCTCCAACTGGAAGTAGCAAAGAAATCTGATCTGCCTATTGTCTCCCATCTTCCCCTTCTCTAGGTGTTACAGGAAAGCCAGAAACATCATGATATTCTCCAGAGTAACTTCTTGGACAGCTACAATAACCTGACCATTAAAACCATGGTCATGTTTGAATGGCTCACCTCCCATTGCCCCAACACTTCCTATGCCATGAAGATCGACTCTGACATGTTCCTTAATGTCCACAGACTTGTTGACATACTTTTGAAAGCCCCCCGACATCTCTACATGACGGGAATGGTGGCAAGGGGTGCTGCTGTTCTTAGAGACCACAACTCCAAGTGGTTTCTACCTGTTTCTGCCTTTGCTGAGTCGGTGTACCCACCGTATGTCCTGGGACTAGGCTATGTGTTCTCGCTGGATTTACCCAAGAGGATACTGGAGGCATCTGAACATGTTAAAGCTGTTTACATTGAAGATGTGTACGTGGGACTGTGTATGAGACATTTGGGAATTGCAGTGACAGATCCTCCTCATGGTGGTTTGTTCAAGGCATTTGCGCCTTATTTCACATATAACTGTTATTGGACCTCTGTCATTACAACAATATTACAGAACTCTAAGCAGCTTTCAGATGTATGGGAAACATATCAGACTCAAAACAAGTCTTGTTTCTAGTGTTACTGTCTCAATCTTGGTTGATACCGCAACAGAGATTGTGAAACAGGTACCCATTTTAAAGTTAAGCTAAATGTATGCCTATACTATGTGTTTCCAAAGATTGCACAGATGATTGTAAAGACGAAAATAATTCAAAGATTTTCGGACTGAGACCATTGTTTAAAATCGGTCTTGTGGCCTTGTGGTTTAAATGCCTGGCAAACGAGAATGAGTTGGCAGGATGATAATAAATAACCACAGCAAGTAAGCAGTTACCCACAGTCAAGCGATGGAGTTGTCTGCACTTCAAGCTCCTGTCATCAGCTTCTAAATTACAATTTCCCTATTTGGGATGAATAAAGTAATTTTTCTTCTTCTTGAAAATACTACTTCCAAGGTAACTTTAATAGCAGGAAGCCAAATGATGATTTATCTACAAGGATAAGACAAGCACAAAATGTGAAAGACTGACATTCACTGCAGAAAGAAGAGGAAGCTGTACACTAATGCTGCTTAAAAGTGTATTTAAATGCACACAAGCACACAGTGGGCTGCAAATAAATTGTTGTAGTTACTGAAATGCAAATATTGCAAGTATTCAATGTCCCCAGAAGATTAATCCTAATAACTCAGGTGAGGTTTTTACTTTTGATGCCACCAGCACTGTTTTTATTTATCCAGGGAAATATCTATTTATCTATATCTACTTAATGGATGTGCACCAAAGTTGGTACAGATATTCATTGTTCCGATTGTCCAGTACTGTTTCTTTACTCTTACAGCTGTATGAGTGGAAAAACATAGACGTGTTGAATTTTTATTGTGATTCACCAATGTAAAGCAACAGTGCGTGCAGAATGTGGGCTAATTTTAGCATGCTGCAGCAGGTTATGAGGCATGCTGACCATAGTGTAGCAGAGCAGAGTTTGATCGCATTCTGTTGAGGCTGAACCCTTCTCTGAGAAGTTCTGTCTCAAAATTCTACTTAATTAATAAAATAATTGATCAACAGAAAATGTATTGCCATCTATCGCACTGAAATTTGAAATTGAAATCTATGGATGGATTTCTGTGAAATTCTCCACAGATATTTATGGTTATCTACAAGAGTGTAGGCAATCTGGTACATTCTGTTTTTTATTCAATGCTCATACATCTGTCTGTTTATAGGCTGTTTTTGTTATTTGACCTATCCGTGTCTTCTTTTTGCCTATAACATATAGAATGTAGTAGGCCTACATCACTGAAACTGTGACTTGTTTTCTTAACCCGTATTGCACAGCCTAAAATGTGACGTGTGTGGAGGTTTGATGTGGTAATTCCCTGCTTATTGCATGTCAGATGTCATGACATAAAGCGAGCAGGTTGTTGCAGTTATAAATGTGTCTTTGCAACAGGATTACCAGCCTAGTAATCCTAAAGTATAGTACAACTGCCAATTTATGTACAATTTTAATTTTGACAATGAATATGTTAATTAAAGCTGTATGTAATGTAATCATTTAATTTATCATGCATATATAAATATCTACTTTTTATTTTCCTGTAACATTTAGGAGGATCTATTGGCAGAAATTGAATATAATATTCAAAGGTATGTTTTCATTAGTATATGATCACCTGAAAATAAGTTTTCATTACCTTAGAATGGGCTTTATCTACAGAGGGAGCAGGACCTGGGTTGTAAAAGTTAATGAATCCATATATTAGAGAAAGAGTATTTTACATAATATTGGTGAGAGATTTTCAAACATGAGTACTTTCCCTCTTTTGCCTCTTTCCCCTCTAACTTTGTCTCCTTTTATTATCAACACTGTTCTAATTTATATTAGTGAGTGTTTAGCGTGTTTTGTGTGAGTTTTCTTTGTCGCCTCTTTCTTTCTACTCACTGCACACAACAAAGAATGAAATATGTGTCTGTTTTTTACACCTTGGTCTTCTATTTCCTGATTTGTGAACAGTAACTGAAGCCGTTCTGTGGCTACTGATTAACCTATGTATAGCTTATCTTATGTTATTTAAGACTGTGACACAGACCTGCTCTTCACAGGAACAGCTCAAAAGGCATAAATAGCATGTAAATGCAGTGACTCCTTATCAGAATACCAAAGAAAATCAAATATGGTGTCAGAATCAGATTTCACCTTTCTGTGCAAATCTCTCCTAATTCAATTTAATAATAAGAGTTACCGGATTCCATGTCATTTGTAAAACAGACATTTAGACCAATGCATAAGCAGAAAGAAAAAAAACACTCCACTAAAACATGAACCTCTATGAAAGCTACTTCCTGTTATCACTTTCAGAGAGCTCTCAAACAGCCCTGTTGTTATGTGTTTCTCGTACTATACACACAGAGTAATGTCAGCCATGATTTAAGTGGAATGCAAACATGAGCAACAGCACTCTCTTGTGGTAAGCGGGCTAATGAGAAAACAGAAAAAAGTAAAGGAGAGTGCTGTTGTGGGTAATGAAAGATTATGAGTGGAACATTTTAAATGTTGGCTGTAAAATAAACAAATACATCTAGCAGGACACAAGGACATAAGCACTTATCCTGCAATCACATGTTGATGTGGTTTTACTATCAAACATATATGTGTGGTAACTAGGTAGATTGAGCAAAAAGGTAGACTTGCTAGATACTATAATCATATTATTTTTGTGTGAGACAGCGAGACAACCTGATTATTTTTGTCATATTATCAAGCCTTGAGCTTAATGTCACAAACAGGTATATTTATATAACTTTATAGCTTCATTATTTTCCTCCTGCATGCCCAAAGGGTTAAGGTCGTGACCATTCTGTCTGTTAGCCTGACCAAAAGTCCTGTCACATGCTTTTGGGGGGGGGTTGATTATAGAAGTTTTAAAAAAAACATTATGAGGTTCTTCCATGAGAGAAAGGCAGATAAAGAGACACTGAGTGAGTCAGATAAAGAGATATGCTCAGCCAGCCTGTCAGAATCACTTCAGCATGCATCTGCAGGAAGGGAAGCAACGCTGTGCGTGTCTGTTTGTGTGTTTTTGATTTTTCTATATTTACAAGGACCAAATATTCTCAAATGGATAAAAAGCATCACGAAAATGTAATGAAATGTAAAAATCTAATGTGAGGACATTTTGCTCTAGCTGCTGTGACAGGTGCAAGGTTAAACTGTTATGTTTTATGAGCGGCCTCAGCTAACCCATCTCCACACACTAACAATGCCTGCAATAAGATAGACTCTGTCTTTTCTAGGGCATGTTCTGCTGCTCTGCTTCCAGCCACTCTGTCAACCCATGTCTTTGACTATTTGTGTCTTTTAAAATCACTCGCTTTACAAATCCCCTCCAACACTGATGGGTCTGAGGGTTCGAGTGTCTGGTCGAGGAGAACAAAGCTCCCAGATTCAATTAAGTTCTGGGGGGTTGGCCATTTTGGTCTGAGAATCAGCTCTAGGTAACTGTGCCAGGGATAACTGTGGCTCAGTGATAGCATTTGGAGTCAAACTGGAGAGCTTGTCATTAATCACAAATCAAGTCCAGTCAAGCAACCCAGAATGCTGGATTTAAACAGTTGAGCCAAGACATTTTGGTTCCCTGGTGTCAGAGAGACTCTCCATCTCGTCTTCACTTCCCACTGACACCACAGCTAATTCCACATTTCTTTCAACCTGCCTCACTGTATTTCGAACATTGCTTATTGACAAGTGGGGTGTAGACCGGCTGATTTCAGTATGGGCGTCCATGTTGAAGTGACAAATGATAGTGCTGATGAGAACCATCTCTTCCAGGATGACAGTGCCCCCGGCCACAAGGGGTCACCAAATGGCTTGATGCTTGAAATCATACGCTATGGTCTTACAGTCACTGGATCCTAACTTAACTCCACCACCATCATCCCTCCGGTTCTACTTGGAGAATCTACAACGAGAAGCACTGGAGCGGCTCTGGATGCTCGTTGTGGTCCAACACCTTACTAAGACACTTTATGCTGTTTTTTCTTTGAATTTTTCATGTGAGGTAAATATAATTATACAGCTGATTAGTTGCCAATTCTTTAATCTGCTGAGCATGAATGCTCTCTTTTTGACAGCGCTTTGCAACACACTCACAACACACATTCACACTTGGAAGCTGTCCAGTTTTCTTTCAGTGGAGCAGTTGGAGGTTAAAAGCATTGGTCATGGGCACTTCAACAGTTGGGGTGCCTTCAGTGATCTTCTCAAATCTTTGCTAAGAAATTGGCTTGAAATATGACTTTGTTGAACAATTGTTTAGTTATGGCTCACTTCAACATCCCAGTCAAGAAGCAAAGGTGTCAATTAACAACTACTGTGCATCTCTGGTGATCCGACACGGATATTCTTACCGCCTTAAGCGTCAGTTGTTCATTTGTTGCCTTTTGTAGGATCAGCCTTCCTGAGGATCTGAGATGTGTTTAGCCTCTGTCAGACCTTGGTTTTTAACTAACTTTTCTTTTTGCTGTTGCCTTTCAGTGAGTTTTGTCTATTCATTCCTTTGCTTTCCCTTTTATCTGAAATAAGTCTTTACTTTACTTTGACTTGCCTAGCAAAATGAACTAGCCCCCCACCCCCAAACTTCCTCAAGCATTTATGTCAAGATGGAGGGCATGTGCAGATACAACACAGCCAGAAAGTAATCAGGTTAACCATCTACATACAACCCCGTTGTTACACGGTACATTCTTTTTCTTTTGATCAGTTTATGAAAAGGTTTAAACTACGTCCTCTGCAACCAATGGAAATTTCAGTGGGTTGGGGCATGTTTATTCTGATTAAGGTGGTTATATGGAGCATTTTTGTTCTGTATGTCCTTTTAAACCAATTCTAATCATAATATTAGGCTCCATGTAAACACACATATATATGACGCATACAGTACATCTTTATTCATGCATGTATGTGAGTGTGCTTGCATAAATGCAGGTGCTCTCCGGAAATGGTCTAGATAAGTGGAATGTCAACTTCCTCTTGACACAGAGTACTTTATATGTTTGCAAACACACACACACACAAACACACACACACACACACACACACACACACACACACACACACACACACACACACACAGAAAGACAAGATATGGGGATACAGACAGACAAATGGCCTCTATCACTCTGGAATTTTGTTATTGAATTGTTTCTCAGAATGTTGTCTTGTTTAGGTTGGATACGAGTCCAGAAATGTGTGTTTGTGTGTGTGTGTGTGTGTGTGTGTGTGTGTAGGCAGCTGACCCTGGTGTGAACAGAGCCACTGTGTGGAACCACAGAGAGACCATTCTTCACTGTGACACAAACACTTTCTCTCTTTCTCACACACACACACACACACACACACACACACACACACACACTCACACTACACACTGACAGCCATCCTCTCTCCTCCCCTCTCTCACTCTTAAGTTGTCACATTCACTTATACACACAAACACACATACAGAGGGTGCAAGAGAGTCACTTGCCGTCGTTCCCTCATTCTCCTACACACACACACTAACACACAGAACTCTAGCATAGTCTTGCTCTTTCTGTTCCTCCCCAACACACACACACACACACACACACACACACACACACACACACACAGTGAGTGAGTCCCACCACATAATGACCCTTATTTCACCATGCTGACTGTGACTCACTGGTTCAGTCAGGAGACTGGAATGTCAAGCTCCATCTATTCAATATATTTTATATATTTTTAAAACATAATTACATAGGTGAAGCAAAAAAAAAAGAAGAAAAAAAAAGTAATAGGGAGATGGTGTGAATAAACTTTGAAAATAATCTTTTAATTTGCAGTTCAGTACTTGTGTTGTGTTACATGGATAATATATAGTGTCTGAATCATTTTCCATTTCTGATCTTTTAAATAAATATATCACACCTCCACCTTTGTCCACCTTTGATATCTGCCAGACTCCTTCCTGTAAGCATTTTTACAAAATGCATGGGGGCAGGGGCGAAGAGCGAATGTGTGTGCAAAGGTGCTGCAATATGAGGTGAAATATGACAAGGCTTGGAGTACAAGCAATATTTTTCCAGTAACATATTTTTGGGTTCTAATAAGTTCCAATCAGGGTTCCACACTAAATTGTGGACATAAATCTGTTACTGGACAGTTTGTATCATGTCAGTTAGGTTGCATTAAGAAACACCAGTGTAATCCTCATATTAACCACATGGTCCTCCCACATGGCCAGTGATTGCAACTAACTGAATACAGCTCTGCCTTCCAGGTGTGTAGGAGAAACTATGGTGGCAGGGAAACTCACAAAAAACACAGAAAGCATACTATTTGTGTATGTCTCAATACATGTCTGGAGGGGATCTTTAAGCAAAATTTACTGATTTTCAAAAGGAATTTGCAAAATGGATAGTGTGAGTTCTTGAAGAATAATAGAGGACTGTGAACTTTTACCCACAAAAACACTAAATATACACAGAAACACGTGGAAAGATAGTGTACTACATTTGTTTTCGCATTTGCAGTCAGCTGCAGATGAAGCAAAGTCTACTGTACAAACAGGGGGTCAGTAAAGCCAAGGTTCTTCCCCTTCTTTCCCAGGGGTTCACTGGATGTCAAGTTATCCCAAACATTTAAAAAATAAAATAAATAAATAAATCACTTCTCAGAAGCAAAACTGGATATGGTCAAGTAAAATGGAGTCAATGCAACCAGAAACAGGGTGGTGCTAATTTCACAATTAAGCATAGATGTTGTGACTGTAATATTTGGGCTTGAGACAGAGTAAGAAAAAATAAAATAAAAAATAGCCTAAAAGAAGAAATAAATCAACATTAATTGTTGTGTCAGATGTCTATTTTTATTTATTTTCTAACAAATGTTTACTTAAATTACTTAAATACTGTTATTACTTATTTATTTATTTCTTAAATGTATTTATTTGTTATTTATTTCTGTTGTTGTTTGACTATCTATCTATCTATCTCTCTATCTCTCTATCTATCTATCTATCTATCTATCTATCTATCTATCTATCTAGTGAAAAAAGAAGTGAAACTTTGTACATATGCACATAATGCATTTAGATATTTCTATATATATTTACAGACAGTTAAATGTTGCATATTAAGATGTATGACTTTATATAAAATGTCTGATTTGGGTGTGAAGTCTCTTTAATAAAACAGAAATAAAACCAAACCCGAAAGGCACTTATTGTGAAGGGTCCCAGCGGAAGTGCTGCGTCTTTTCGCTGCCTCGCTTGACGCTGCGAGCAAAAAACTTGAGAATGGACCCGAGAAGAGGAAAAAGCCGTTAGTTTGTAGCAGAGAAACTGTGACCGTCCATGTCTTGTCCACAAATAGCGACCCGCTGACAAACTTATTGGCAGCAATGTCGAGAGAAAACACCACTCGAAGTCTGGACAGCATAGACCTCGCTGCCTTAAGAGTAAGTACAGCAATGTTGTCTTGGTATTTTTTCCTTCTTTTTTTTAATGAAATGTTTTGGGTAAACACTGGAGGATGTGGTGGGTGTTGCTTGAAAAACTTAACGGTAGTTTTCAAGCGAGCAGTCCGGAGGTTTGAGCCTTGTGTAACGGTCGTCTCTCTCTCTTCGTGTGCTGTTAAAGAAAAGGTTTCATGTTCGGGTCCTAACTTAGTGTTACAACGTGTGGAGAGCCGTGTGCGCTGTAACATTATGCTCTCTGTGTGTCTGCACTGTGTCCTGCTGGGTGGAAGTTTACAGGCTGCACTGTTTACACAGGGTTTTCCTTTGGCTGACTTGCTGAAAAGTTGACATGCAACAAGTGATAGTCCACTATAGATAAACTGTGTCTATTGATTGAGAGGAAAAAGTATTAAAAAAAATGCATTGAAGTTATTGGAACATTGCTGTTTCAACCCAATTCATATTATTCTAATACTTCATAGCTAATGCAGTGGTTCCCAACCTTTTTTCCTTTACCTCTTTTATATCAGTGAGAAAGTGTCAGATTGTATGGATATTTGATGTTATATTCAATGCATGACAATAACCGTGCACAACTACAAACAGTGAGCACAACAACTGCAGGAAGTTTGTGTAAAATGAGTGATTTTGGAGGAAACTTGAGCAAATTATTTCCTGTGATTTTTTTTTTTTATATCAAAGATGAGTTTTCCTCATATTTTAGGAACTTTTTATGCAATTATTTTTCTGTATTATACATTTTTAACAATCATACATACTTACCAAGCTCCTTTCTTTATGAAAAATGTGGCATTTTCTTCTCCCTGACACTTTTCGCCATTGTTAGCTCTGAGAGAGTGAAGGCTCTGTGAACATCTCGTCTTCAAAGTTTGTATCTTATAGGAAAACCTAAACTCTAAAAATAACCTTTTCTTTTCAGAAAGGAACAAAATGCTGAGATAAAGGCCTACTGTGATTATTTTAAAAGTATTCTCACAACCCGTAATATCAAGAAGGCCTCGCGACCCCCTGTGAAGCTTAGGCAACCCCTAATGAGGGTCCCGACCCCCAGTTTGGCAACATCTGAGCTAATAGTGGTCTCATGCTAGTTAATGGACATTTCTTTACCTTCTTTCCCTGATCTTTAGTACAATATTTCTGTATCTGTATCCCTTAGAGCTGCAACTGTTAGATGATTAATCGATTAGTCGATTGAAAGAAAATTAGTTGCCAACGATCGATAATCAATTCATCATTTCAGTCATTTTTTAAGCAAAAACGTCAAACATTGCTTTTTAAATGTAAGGATTGCTGCTTTTCTTTGTCATTCATGATAGTAGAAGTGTCTGGTTTTTTTTCACAATCAAATAAATGGCAGATTAATTGATAATGAAAATAGTTGTTAATTAGGTAACTAGTTAGGAAAGGATAATGTGCCTGTGTGACTTGTGCCTGTGTTATAGTCATGTAACGGCATTTTATATCCCTGTAGGTGATAATATTCTTATATTCAGAGGAGCCACGGCCTGTAAAAGTCATATTTTTATTCCTTGTAGCTCACAATGTTATCCAAGTTTGCAGTCCCGCTTCCCCAGTCCTAATCCCAGCATAACACTGCATTGTTCTTCTCCATTCGTCCTTAGTACTGAGTATATAAAGCTGTTTATAGTAGTTTTACTTGGCGCAAACCTCTTGCATTATCGACTTGGCTGAAATATGCCATTTTCTATACTGTTAGAGAACTTGTTCTGTTCACCTGCATGCTGTTTGCTCAGTTTTTTTTTCTTTATATGACTCAGCTCTCCCACTTGCTGCTTGACATCACTCCTGTCCGAACCTCTGTTTCTTAACCATGTTTTATTTATCTTTTTTTTTTTTTTTTTTTTTTACAGGATCCAGCAGGTATCTTTGAGTTGGTGGAGGTAGTTGGCAATGGAACCTACGGTCAGGTGTACAAAGTGAGTGCTCCCATGATGCTTTTCTGTCCATCTCTCTCTGTTTTTAGAGTTTGCTGCACGCATGGAAGAACATAAATACTGCTGCAAACTGAGACACAAAAGTTTCTCACGAGCTGCACCCCATAGGCCTCTGTCAGCCATGTGCAGACACACATTGTATTACAGTATCTGACACGTCACTTCTGGTAAACCTTACGACAGCTACTTCCAGTTAGTTCGGAGGAAAAACAAGAAATTGTCATTTGACTGAAATATCCTGTAGCTATTACAAACACAGCAGCATCTACAGCATCTGCAGCATCTTTTAAAGGGCCTGGGTGGGGCTCACTTCCTTATCACAATATCTGTTTGTGTGTATGAGCGGTTTGTGGTTAGGAGGTGTTTAGTCTTATTTAGGTCTGTGCAGCTGGTTGTGCCCTCCTTGCAATCATGTTCACATGCTTCTGCAATGCTACAAACTTTGTTACGATACCTATGTGGTTCAGTTTCAGGTTTGAGCACTTCAAGGTTGATTGGGCGAATTAATATTGTGCAACAGACTATCAGGTTCAGAGTCTTTATGGTCGGTCGATTGCTTGTTTGTAGTATCACCATAATTTAAAACCTCATTATTGTTGGGCTGCCTTAATAAGTAATGTACATAATGACAATTACATAGTGACCCTATCTGCCATATGCAAAGAAAAGACAGAATAGACATGTTTAAGCAGAAGATAAAATTTGCTTTAATTTAAAATGAATTATGGAAGAGGAGAAAAGTTGTATAAGGAAGGATTGTTATTTTTCTGCAGCACAAGACATGTAGGAGCAAGTTTACACACACATATTACTTTGTGGCTTATCAGTGTGGCACACATATATTCATATCAACAATAACTACAAAAAGATGGGAAAAAAATAAGTTTTAGAAAAAGCAAATTTGGCTTTGTGTCCAAAATGTGTTATATAGCTTAAAAGGTGAGGGTATGAATTATGGCAGAGGTTAAAAGTTTAGGGTAAAGGATGGTTCTCATTAGCATGTGTGTGTGTGTGTGTGTTAGACAGAAGATGGGTGTGTGCCTCGATTGCCACTTGATTTCCAGAAAGAGGAAATGTTGCAAGAGATGCACAGGACAGTAAGGCCTGTGTTGGCCTTTACACAGGGTGCTTTTCCACGGGGGGAGAAAATTGAAAATTGCATGCTATGACTCACATTCATTGATGTTTTAACAAGGGGAAACCTCCACATATGGATGAATGGTGAGCAGTCTTCCTGAGGGTGAATTACAGCAATGATTCTGGTGATTTATTTATGTCAAGATTCAAACAAGGCAATATATAAACAATAGTTTTACTATAGTGTTTCGTAAACTAATAAAGTAAATGACATTATAATACTCCTTCCTGGGCACTGCTCTCTCAAATCACTCCAGACCCCACGTAAAGCATCATTGATTTAAAGAAGTTGCCACATTAGAATAAATATACAAGCAGTAAACAAACAAGTGCTGGTTAAGATGTCTCAGAAGACTAAATGTCTGTCTCTGCTGATTGCCATTATGTGCATTTGACATGCTATAGGGAAAGTAGTAATGATTGTGTGTAATCCTAACAAGCAGTCAATTGGACCGTAATGAGGACTGTGCACATACAGAAACTGTGTGTGTGTTTTCTGCCACACCTTTTCTGCCCAGTGAGTGCCATCATGGGAAACCTGAACAGGAATAGGGCCCATAGAACAATGACTTATGCTGCACACACACACACACACACACACACACACACACACACACAATAATGGTCCCCCTAAGAAAACACTTAGTTGTGGATTGATGTGACTGCAGGAGATGCTGACAAAGCATCTGGCCTTTTCCATGTAACATGAATAGGAAATCCAAACAGGTGTTCAGATCTTAATTCTGAGATTAAACCCAGGGTTTGACGTTAATGGTTTTTTTTTTTCACTTGCCCGGGCAAGTGGGTCAGAAATCCAGTTGCTAAAAATCAGTTTTTAATCCAAATTTAGATGCTGTTGGCTCCTCTTATAGCACTCCAGCTATTTTTTTTTTTTTGAAAGTTGGCATGCCTTTTAAGAAACAGCCTAAAAAAACTATGTGTTTAATTCTTTGGAGTTTCTAGATTTACTAGCCCAGTATGGGATTTTACTCGCCCCGGGAATTATCCATATAGTTGAAAAACTCCTGTTTTACCATTATGTACACTAATTAATAAGTGTAAGTTACAAAATAAGAGAGAACAACAGAGGAGTTAGTTGCAATTCCCACGGTGTGTCACTACCACAACTTGCTAATGCAATGTGTGAATACACAGCATCTATATTATGCAGCTATGGGTGGAGGAAGTCCATTTTAAAGTTTTATTTACAGAGATGCTGAGATCACTGTCACCATGGTGGTTGTGCTAAACGTAGCACACTTATGTTTGAAGAAAATCCCACATAAAATACACACTTGCACGGATACAACTAACTCTGTAGTACAATTCAATTTAAAGTTATTGTTTTATATTTATTTATTTGTTTATTTACTGTTGTATAAATGCTGGTAGACGGAAACACAATGCAGAAATGTCTGTTTTGTGAAAAGCAGTTTTAGTCAGGTCTAAAGTCACTTTACAGTGTTGCAGTTAGCCACAGGCAGGATTAGGTAAGGTCAGTCAAGTCAGGCAGACAGATTGGATGGAGCAGGCAGGAGGTCAAAGTATTTATAAACCACATAACTAGAAAATCATGGGGAACAGGTCCAGGTAGGAAGAAATGGCTGGAACATCATGGCATCTTAGCAACACTGACCATCTGGCAGGTTTGTAGTGAAAGGCTGGGCTGTATGTGTTCAGTGTTTTAACAAAAGCAGGCGGCTGATCGGTGGAAGGGGAAGTCAGTGAGGACAGAGGGCAGGTTAGGCAGACAGTTTGTGGAAAATTCAAGAACACACACTGGGACTTCGTAGAAGAGTTTGAGGATGAAGAGGCGGAGGAGGGAGATGGAGCAGAAGTCACCACGACAATGTTTATATGTGCAGAGTAATGTGCAGTTTGTTGTAGTCCCTGCTGTAAACCACACTGCGCACTCTCTGTTGTTTGGTGAAATGATTTGTAGTTCAACTTATGTTGCCAATTAGTTCTGCTCTAAATTGAAGCCTTACATCTGAACCTGTGTCTAGCATCAGAGGTTGATTCCAGTGATTGTTAAATTTAACCATGACTCATTTTGCAACAACAAAATACGGTAAGATTTTTGATCCACTAATTGCCAGTTAGTAGTCGGATATAATGTCAATCAAGTGATCCCCGTTAGCATCGTTTTCATTTTAATTCAGTGGAACAGCATCCTGGTCAGCAGAAAGGATTTTCTGACATACTAAGAAAGACACAATTAGAAGAGATGGAGAAAACAATCAGGCCTTTTTACCTAAACTGCCCCACGAACTGAGAAGTCAGGGACTACTCAGGAACTCAAAGAACCTTCAGTGCACTTGTTTTTGTAGCACGTCTTGATAATTAGATAACTTTGGCAGATTAAAAAGCCACTGTGTAGATTGAGACATAATGTTTGCATGAAACAACACTGTTGCTGCTGTATGTGAGTGATGTTCGAATAGATGTTGGAAAAGAGAAGTGCACATGAATGCAGGGAGATTTTACACACTTGAAAACGAAAACACATGACCCAAAGTAAAGAGGATATAATGAGAGTGTTTTTGTGCTGTGATATCAGTAATGAAACTTGGTCCGTGACATTCAGTACTGCAACCTCCACCCATATAGTTTTTGGCAGACTGTAAAACAGTATCATAGTAGCCGGAGGATTTTGAGGACAAGAACTACAACTGGACCCAGGTTCCTGCAGTTCCTGCAGTTCCTGAAGTTCCTGAAGTTCCTGAAGCATAAATGCAAGCAAAGTTCCATAGTCCCTCAAAACATTCCCAGAAAAGTTTCTACCATCAAGAAGAGAAGTGGTTCGGCCTCGAAAAGATACACAATCACCAATTTCTCCTCTCAGTTCCATTCTTCTCCACTTTTATAACCTCAGTACCCCTAACTGAACCCAGTTCTTCCTCTCTTCATCGGTTGTTTTTTGCTTTTCTTTTTGACATCATTTACAGCAGTGATTTCACTTTATGTTATTTGCTTCCTTGTTGGTGTCCTAAACACATTCACTTAGGGACAAAATCCTTTGTGTCCAACCGATGCAGAACACACACACATGCACATTAGTATTAAAGGATGTATTATGTGCAGCAGTAGTCACATGGTGGTAGTAGTATGCCTGCAGTAGTTGTGTGGCCTCAGGACACCCAGATTATCAGGGATGGAGTGTCTTGTCTGAGCCATGGCTTTTTAGAAAAAATGAGTAAACAACTTACCAGGAATGTCTTTGATTATTTGTTTCACAATTAATTATTAATAGTTTGCCCTGCTCATATTTTAAAAAGGCACATTCAGATTTTAGAGAAGTGGCTTTTGGTTCCTAAACACTTCAGTAGGAGGAACACTTTCCTAAACATTACAAATAAAAATCAAGTTATTGAGTTCCTTTATTAGGCATTCTTAGTACTGAATCACCGGCATACACTGTCCATACCTCTCTCTCACTCAGCGTCTAGTCATCATACAGGCACACACACGAACACACACACACACACACACACACACACACATAGGGCGTTTCCCTGTTTGCAGTAGGAACTTCCCTTCCCTGCAAGCCACTGCTGTAGAGTCATCTGTGTGTGTGTGTGTGTGTGTGTGTGTGTGTGTGTGTGTGTGTGTGTGTGTGTGTGTGTGTGTGTGTGTGTGTGTGTGTGTGTGTGTGTGTGTGTGTGTGTTACAATGTGAAAATGTCAAACTCCACTAAAGCTAAGGGCCACGATCACTGCTGATGCAACACTGTGCTGAGATGAAAAGCTGCTATGACTAAATTAAACTAGTTGAGATGGTTTTGTCAGACTGTAGACTGTGTGTGACTGACCTCCATCGTTAAATCATGTTTATAGCATGCATTA